TCTGTGATAGTCTGAACCAGGTCTGTCACGATCTACTATGGATCCGGAGCTCAGACAATCACAACCGGAGACCACACCCATCACAGATCCAGAGAGACGGGATCCAAAGCGTGCCTATCGCAGCCTGTGACAGAACACTAATGAGTTAAATATTGATTAATTAGGTCACAAACTAACTACATAATAATAATTTAATTAATTAAAACTTCTGCTAGGGTCTGTGGGGAGTGGTGAATGCATAGATGAAACTGGTACCGAGAACCGACCAGTCCGAGCTTTAGAGCGCCTGGTATATCGATCTATTACTGGTCTTACTTTTCAATTTTTCTGCTGTGATTACAATTTAAGTTTTTATTGGCGAAACGATATTGTGCGTTTCAGGCAGGATTTCATTTTTGACAGTTGATCTATTGTCGGTAGGCCGATATTTTACTAGTAGACCGGTTTCATCTATGGGTGCCCAGGTCGATCAAAACGGACCACCGTAAACCGACGTAACATTACCGTAAACGGTCGTTTTAAGCCGAATTAAGGCGCTTTAACAGGGGTAGTAATACGGCCATACACGGACACCGTATATCAGCCGTAAAACCCCGTAAAGCCGGCGTAATATTATCGTATTCTATAGAACATACGGCCGTATTACTGCCCCTGTTATACGGGGAAAATACAGCACGTAAAACGGGCCGTATTTCTATCGTATACAACCGTTTACTGATCGTTTTCTTCGACCGGGGTGTGTGGGCGCAAAGTTCTGCCCTATATACAAGAAACTACATTGGTGTGCATCATTTGAGAAAACAGACGAGCTACTGAGGAGAGATCGGGGCGGATAATTTTGAATCTCGCCCTACCAAGTAGGATAGTTTACGAGAAGAGCAACAAGTACACGAGCAATAGCGCTCCGAAGTTCATGTAGATATTTACTTTTAGTACTAACAACTAAAAGATAAATTGAGCATTTTCAAAGTGATTTATATTTTACAAATAACTGACCTCGCATTTTTCTGATCAAAACAAAGTTTCAGTTTAAGATGACTAGCGATTTCAATATTTTTATTTTTTGCGTAATCTCTGGTTTTCATTTAAGGATAAAATAACAACAGTATAAAATAAAGTAGATTTCTACTTAACTCATTTTAATTACTTTAATGAGCTTAAATTATATATGTATGTGAGTTCCAGATTTTAGTGTCAAAGGGGCTACGCTGAGAAGATCTGTTTTGTTAGCTTTTATTCATATCGATTTTTATCTAATTTCTACCTTCCCTCTTTTTACTTGGCTGAGTTCTCCTGAGTAAAACTTAGAGAAATGCTGTCGAAAGGAGCCCAGGACGATGATTCCGGGGTTCAGATCCTGCAGGAAACAAAAGGAAACGGCCTTTTTTCCGGCTAATTCCACTAAAATACAGAGTGTTTCCCTCCGGAACCGCCAGGAAAGCACCTGGCAAATGGAAGCAGGATTCCGGACCGGAAATCACCGTGCCGGATCCATAACTTTCCAACAAAATCCACTTGACCGGATCCATCCGGAAACTACCAGATACACAATGAACTTCTTCAGAAAACTACCATATCTACGGCGGACTATTTAACGAAATTTTCTGTATCTGGTCTAACACTGTCAAAAACTACACCATACCTACGCGGTATCACACCCTGGAGAAAGATTGCCGTGGCCGTAAACGGTAGTTAACACTATATTCACTACCCGGGGTCGATCAATCCCACAATAGGATCTGATTGGAAGCAGAGTTGGCACCCAAGGATCGAAATCCAATGCAATCTTACAGCAGAAAACCGATTGATAACAACCATCATTCAACTGTCGGATGCCAGGGTGCAATCGATGATGCCGGATTCGCATTCATTGACCTCGATAACCTATTACAAACTTACCTCAGAATTTAACTGAGAGTTGAAATAACAAATCTAACTTTTCAAAATTTTGAATTTCTGTTGGTAGCAGTTTCTGATCAGCTCGATATGCTCGTAGGGATATGACGTAGTGAGTGACTAGTGTGATTTGGTCAAAGGTCAATAACACTAGAGTGTAGCGCAACTATTTGCTGGTATCGGTATGTGTCCGAACTGTTTGAGGTGCGAGATGGGTTTGGAATATGATTGAGGAAGCGGTTTGGATACCGATACGGTTGACATAGATGTCTTTCAGGTTTTGGAATTCTCGAGAAATATATTGGAAACGTCGGAGATACTCGTACGGAAAGTCGCGTAAAAATTCCGTCGAAGATCCACTCGTTTCCAACTGTTTTCGTTCCTACGACGTGTATGTGAATCAGAAAAGGAACTGCCCGGATTTTTCCCTGAATCTTTCCCGGTGTTTCCGTTGGGATATGAGTGGAAAGATGGTTGAAAAATCCGTTCCGGAATACTGCTTCCGTGAAATCGCGGGAAGACATCGGAACCTGGCGTTAGTGGCCCGGACTGCTCGACCTGGGAGGAGTGGTTGAGCACACCCTGGTGAAAAATCCTGCTGTCACCGCTAGTATGAACACAGAGGATAAAAAAGATCGTAAGAATTCATTGAATTATTGACTCGGATAACTCGAGTAAATCAGCCGATTCATACTTGACTGTTATTCTCGTACTACTTTCTTATATTTATCCATTCCTTTCTTTCGGTCTGCTTCTATAGGGCGTTATAGAGTTCACGATCACTTAATAAATGTTTATAGCTTTCTTTTTAATAACACGTTATCTAATCATTTTTTATTTCAAAGAGCAAGCTAGTAGGGTTCTTACTCTCACAAAGAAAGTTAACAGATGCAGCTCAAACGTATTATCTTCAAATTGAATACAAAAAAATATAGATATTTCACACGGTTTCGAAAAAAACATAATTTTTAGTTTTTAATTGCACCACTTTCTTTTGGGACTCGATTCTGTAGGCCATACAAATTTTTAACGATTTTTTTGTAGATATTTATTTTGAGATAGTTTCATAGATAGAAATAGGATGATGTTAAATCTTGGTGATCGAGAAGCCCTCGATATCTTCGAGGATGAAATAAGAAAAACTTATTCAAGTTTATAATTTTACAAAGACATAATACTTTTTTATTTTTTGAAAATGGTTGGTTCTAGTTCAAACAAAATCCTCATTATTAGATGATCAATATTATCTGACTTCCCGATCGTCAGATCTAACATTATTGTACTTCTATCGATGATAATATCTCAAAATAATTGTCTACAGAATAATCTTTAAAGAATTATAGTGAAATATGTACGTTTTTGTATTCAGTTTGAAGTCAATACTTTTGAACAGTATTTCTGCACTCTCCTTTTATGTAGTTACAGCATTATTCATAAGAAAGTTATAGATATATTTCTCAAGTGATGATAATTTTCGAAACACTTGGTAGTTGCTTTCAAAAAATGATGTGATTTTACGATATGAAGGATTATAATAACGTGTAATTTCATCTACACTATGATTATTGCTGCCAAGAATCGTCACATGTATACTATTAGTTATTTACGGTGATTTTGTAAGTTAAAACTTGACTGATAATACGTTCGGTATTAACGAAGGTATTGAGAGTTTGTTATAGTGCGATGATATCATTCGTGTGCCATCGATAGTCGTTCTATCTTTTCCCATTCTGTATTATCGACACTTCTCTGTTCTATTGCCCGACTGTGGTATGTTTGGGATTCACGTATATTGTATGTGATTTTAGCAAAAGCTTTTATTTCTTATCAGATCTTCGTCAGTAATATTTTCCTAGCATGAGACAACGTTGCCGGAATGTCAAGCTGGAAAAAAAATTATTAGGACTAGAAAAACAAATCATCGCTACATATTGGTGTATATACTACGCATACCAGTAAAGAACAAAACTTCACAGACAGTGAAAGGTACGTTCCTAGTTGATGGCATTGAGTAAACTATACTGATTCTCATCTTGCAATAAGAAATATACAAAACATTGATCAAAATCATGAAGCCATTCTTATAACCAAAAAAGAATATGAGTTATAGCGTTGTATACTGATTATCGTTCCTTATATTTCATAATAATTGATTGCTTATAGATTAGGAATTCGCCGCGATTCTATTAAGGTCCGCTGTAGTTATTGTATATTCTTACATATTTGATCTTACAGTTAAATCATTACACTTATATTACTATTATTTAAAGTTCTGCAACTGTATCCCAGTTTCAGCTCTACTATAACACTTAAATAAAAACTGCCTAATATTTTGGCTTCTTTTTCCTCCACTTAACATGCTCGTTAAATAGACTATAGGATCGTTCCAAGTATTCTATATAGTAGAAACTAATTTATTAACACGAACACATATTAGTCGACATTTTTACTCCATACACGATATTGAACTCTGTATGACCTTGATACGAACTATCACTTTCAAAAGAGAAATCTTACATATAATTATTTTGTTTTGTTTACTAACGTCTCATATATATTTGCGTTCAGTATTCTACTATTATTAAATGTAGGTGATTTCCAAGTAAACATACGATAAACCTGAGTTTTCCATGACATTGGCGTTTTCCGAGTGAGACAGCCAATTTTTAAAGTGTTTCTAGTGTGCTACTTGTCTGTTTAAAGAATGATATGTGATCCGATGAAGGAATTTTTCATTGCAGAGAAAATATATGCAATATGAATGCTCATGATCTGCGTTCTATTCTTTTGAAACTCCAAAACCGTCTCAAGGATGATGATCGAAAACGTTTACATTTCTTCTTCGGCAACGATGTGCCACGGCGAATTAGAGATGACCCATCACTTGGCGGTACTCTCAGTCTTATGGAATCTCTCTTCGACCAAGATAAAATCAATGAAGAAGATTTCCCATTTTTGATACATGCATTCGAAGCAATTCAGTGTATCGACGCTGCAAAAATTTTAAGAGGTAAACATCTATTTCGGAACAATGACTCATTATTACCTTTTACCATTCTAGAACATATGAGACAAATAAAATCGAGTGAAATAAAAAAAAATCAATGCAAAGTTTAGCTGAAATCATGCCAATCACAATTAAACAAATTTTTGACGATCAGGACGATGATAAATATAAATATGGCGTTCAATGCTGTAAGTTAAAATGATTTTATATTTCTCAACTTGGGAAAATTTCAAGATGAAGTTTAGCCTTCGTGCCCAAGAAAATCATTTATGAAAACGACACGGTAATGAACGATAGTAATGATAAAAGCATTGATGCAATTACTACTACTACAGATAATAAGACAGCATTACATTTACAATCGAAATGGAAACCAGTATTTAGTGTAACTTTGATCATATGGATATGCTTATTTATATTCTTTGTGATTTTGATTATTATATTCGGAGCAGTAAGTGGAATCTATCTACATCGAACATTACAAAATAATTCTCAATTACAAGAAAATATTCTGGCTAAAAAAGAAAAGTCTAACGAGACAATACAACGACTGGCCAACGAACTGAAATATATGCAGAGTAAAAAGTAAGACAAGCAGTTTTGGCTTCAAGTCATTACATCAAAATTACAACATACCTTGTAAAATCAAAAATTGTAGATCTTTCTGAGTATCGTCGAAGTTTATAGTTTGTATTCTTCTTCGATGCGCAGTTCAATATTCCTATTCTCTAGTTTGATTGAAGAAGAAGACTATAGTGAGCTGGTCAAAATTAACAGAACCGGCTTGTAAAGTTTTCAACGAGTGGAAATTGAAAGGATCAAAGGAAAAATAGTTAGAACACATTTGTTTTATTCGTGTGATAAATTGATTCTCATCAAACAATTTTGGTGTATCATCTTAGATATTCCAAAGATTGCATTCGATGCTCAATGGTCACCGAGTGGTGAGACTGTCGCTGGAGGTAATGGAATCGGCAGTGCCACCAATCAACTACAGTACCCTTGGGGTCTCCTCGTTGATGATGATCAATCAATTATCATTGCTGACTTCAGGAATCATCGTATCGTTCAATGGAAGAAAGGTAATACGACGAATGGACAAATTGTTGCTGGTGGCAAAGGAGAAGGAAATGAATTGAATCAATTGAATGGCCCAACTGATGTATTGATCGACAAAGAAACGGATGGTCTCATTATTTGCGATCGAAATAATCAACGAGTTGTACGATGGCTTCATCGTATTGGCACAACACAAGGGAAAGTCCTTATTGACAACATCATGTGTAATGGGTTGGCTATGGACGATCTTAGATATTTGTACGTCTCTGATATCGAAAAACATGAAGTAAGACGATATCAACTGGGTGACAGGAATGGAACTCTTGTAGCTGGTGGCAATGGTCAAGGTGCTGATCTCAATCAACTGAATCGCCCTTATTACATATTTGTCGATCGTCAACAGAATGTCTACGTGTCAGACAACAACAATGATCGTGTAGTGAAATGGGCTAAAGGTGCAAAAGATGGCATTCTTGTAGCTGGAGGTCAAGGCCAAGGAAGTGCTCTTACACAATTGTTGCATCCTCTAGGACTCTTCGTCGATACTTTGGATACTCTCTATGTGGCAGACCAATGGAATCACCGTGTTATGCGTTGGCCTCAAGGAGCAAAACAAATTATTGTGATTGTGGGTGGAAATGGCTCAGGTGCGAGAGAAGATCAATTTCACTATCCTTATGGTTTGCTCCTCGATCGAAATGGCAACCTCTATGTCGTCGATCAATGGAATCATCGTGTTCAACGATTTTCTATTATATAGACTTGTGAATTGTTTTTTCTTTTATTTCAAATAAATTGAATTTTTTTCTGTTTCTTTTAGCGTTTATATTGTTTCAACAACTACTAAAAAGTCATCGAGTAAATAAAACACATGAGTTAATGAATGAAAAGCTATCATATTCATTGAGATATATATCTCAAATTAGCTATAGACACGAATGGTGGTGACATCTATCTTATTATTTTGATTGCACTTGTGTGATGACCAATCGGATTAATGCCATGGATGAAAAAAAAAATTTTTCTGATCAACATGATTATTTTATATACATATTAATCTTAAAAATGGATGCCGAAGGTAAAAAAGTGATTGTGTGCGATAATGGCACTGGTGTAAGTTAGAATTGAATTAAAATTAGTTTTTGTAGTAAAGATTTCATTGGTTTTTAGTTTATTAAATGTGGTTACTGTACGTCGAATTTTCCTGATTATGTATTTCCATGTATGGTCGGACGACCATTGATTCGTTCTCGTGCTAAAGTAAATAATATTGAAGTTCAAGATATTATGGTTTGTGATGAAGGTAATTAAGTTCGGAAAGAATTCTTTTTTAATACGAAATTCATCAAATTTTCTTAGCACAAAAAGTACGACAAATGCTTGAAATAAATTATCCTGTTGAAAATGGTATTGTAACGAATTGGGAGGATATGAAACATATCTATAGATATCTGTTTGGTTCAAAGAAAATGAATATTAATCCTAATGAATCGAAAATTCTCTTAACAGAAGCACCGCTTAATCCAATAAAGAATCGTGCTAAAATGTTAGAAGTTATGCTTGATGAATTTCAATTTCATGAATGTTCATTAGCTTATCAAGCTATATTAACATTATATGCGCAAGGAATTTTAACAGGTGTTGTTGTTGACATTGGTGATGGTGTTACACATGTTTGTACTGTTATTGATGGATATTGTTTACAAAATTCTATTGCAAGACTTAATATAGCTGGAAGAGACATAACAAGATATTTAATTCGTTTATTACTTCTTCGTGGGGTAAAGAAAATAAAAATGTTTTTTATTTTTCTTTCAATAAAGCTAATATATAATGTATACTCGATTTTAGTATGCATTCAATCAAACAGCTGATTTTGATACGGTTCAACAAATAAAAGAAAAACTCTGCTATGTTGCTCATGATCTTGATGAAGAACGACGATTAGCCTTAGATACTACCGTTTTAGTTGAAAGTTATACATTACCGGATGGTCGAACAATAAAATTGTCTGGTGAACGTTTTGAAGCACCTGAAGTTCTTTTTCGCCCATCATTGTTAGGCATGGAAGTGAACGGTGTTGCTGAACAAGTCTTTAAAGTTATTAATAATGCACCATTAGATGATCGACGTACACTTTACAAACGAATTGTGCTCAGCGGTGGTACGACAATGTATCCTGGATTTGGAACACGTCTTGAAAGAGAATTAGAAAAACTTTATGAAGATCGTATTCTAAAAGGACAACCTGATAAATCATCGAAAAATGTCATTTGTATCGAAGCTCCACCACGTCGTAAAAATATGGTCTTTTTAGGTGGTGCTGTATACGCTAATTTAGTTAAAGATACACCAACTCAATGGATATCACGACGTGACTTTAATGAACAGGGTATTGACAGATGTGTACAACGGTTAAATCAAATATGTCCACGATAAACATTGATATATGCATACTCATTTGTTCATTTCTCCCGTCCGCTTCTTTTTTTTTTGCTAGTTCAATTTGTTTTCTTTTTCATGTTAACTTCATTTATCTTCTTATCGGGTTTATTTTTCTAACACAAATATCTCCTATGTGTATAACTCATGCTTTCTTTTATCATTATTTAACATAAAAATGAACGACTACACTACTTGTAGATCGCCATCATCATGGTTGAACGTATTCGTTGTGCAGCAATCGTCTTGAGTGTATCGAGTATTGTATTTCTGATTAGTGGACTTTTATTAATTTCCTTCTCGGATTTACTTGTCAAGAAAATAGTGAACAGGGTATAGAAATATTTTATCGTTGTTTTTTTATTTTTTCTTTATTACAAAAAGGAATGCCAATTAAAACAAGGAACAATTATTTATCACGTTTGGCGTAATTCTTCTGTACCGTTTTATATTTCAATCTATGTATTTGATCTTGCGAACGAAGCAGATTTTCTCAATGGAGCGAAGCCAAATCTTACTCAACGTGGGCCATTTGTTTATAAGTAACAGTCTGATTTTTCAGTTATCAAAAAAAACAAATTTGCTTTTCTCTTCTTTTAAGAGAACAACGAACAAAAGAAGATGTAAGATTTTATCCTAATGGAACAATTTCATATCGTGAATCACGTAATTACACATTTGATCGATCGAAATCAACGGCTGATGAAACACTGTCTATCACTACAATTAATGTTGTTTATATGGTAAATTTAATTAGAACAATTAAATATTTCTTTCTTGATTTCTATAGACATTAATTAATTATCTTGATATGGAAAATATTCCTGATTTATTTCGAAAAATAATCGGTACTATTTTATCATTTGCAGAAAAGCCAATTATGCAACTTACTGTCAAAGAATATCTCTGGGGTTATCAAGATCCAATATTGAGCTTACTTAAAACTCGATTACCTCAATTAGTAATGAACGATCAAGTCTCCGTATTTGCGTCAGTGGTAATAATGATCAAACCATTTTCATACACGTTCTTTAACATTCTGTAATTACAGGTTAATGAAGCTCAATATGAAACGATTTTGATTAGTAGCGGTGTTGGTCTTGATGAAAATCGTATCGAACGTATAAACAATCTTGGTAGAATTGAACGATTTAATTTTTCAACTAATTTATCCATCTGGTCAAATAAATATGCGAACATGATCAATGGTACCGATAGTACTATATGGCATCCTGATGTAAAAAAAAATGAATTTATCTATACGTTTATGAACGATATATGTCGATCGGTTCATCTAAAATATAATCAAACACATAAAAATCTATTTGACATCGATACATATCATTATATATTACCACATGATGCGTTTGCAAATTCAAAAGACAATGAAGGATTTTGTTTAAATAATACAATGAAAAATGGAACACAACAGTTGAAATGTTTACCTAGCGGATTATTTTCATTGACTCCATGTGTACATTGTGAGTTTAAAATTCACGAGTGTGCTTTATATGCCAATGAAAAAATTATTTATTTTCAAAGTTTATCTTATCTCAGCTAAATTTGATAACATGAATGTGTGCTTTATGAAGGAGTCAATATGAAAGAGAACACTTTGAGAAATGATCTTTTAGTCGGCGCAATAAAAATTGAATGTTTGTTTTTTAAATTTATTTAGTAAGCGGAAGTTCAATTGCGATACCATTACCGATTATTGCATCGAATCCGCATTTTCTTGATTCTGATCGCTCGATTCAAGATGCAGTCAATGGTTTAGTACCAGATGAAATATCACATCGAAGCTATATGGATTTAGAACCGACGACTGGCAGTAAGTATTCAGAAATAGGAATAGTAAAGAAATCGAATGTTCTTACTTTTCGAATATTAGTTATCATGAATGGATCTCGCCGAATGCAATTCAATATCAATGTTGTTAATGACTCGAAAATAGAGTACAACAAAATATTTTGATTCTAACAATTTCAAATATTTATCTTCTAGTGCAATTTCGCATATTCATCCGTTAGTTTATCCAATGATATGGGTTAATGAGGTAAGCGTGGAGGAAATGTTGAGTCTATGTGGTTTTTAGTTTTCTGCAGCAGAATAGTGAACTTCATTAATAATTCTTTTCTGCAAAGTCAATCTGTCTCGCTAAAACAATAGATAGAGAAATTCGATGCGTGACTTTCCCGTAATTAATTATGTGCCAAATAAAAAGAACAGCATTTAATTATAATTTTAGCACGCAGAAATTGATCAACCAAATGCTGACATATTCCATAAGAAAGTATATATACCATTACTTTTATTGACTGTTTTCAAATATGTAATTATGACGATTGGTACTACTCTATTAATAACAGTAATCAGTTTGGTTGTTTTTAGTCGATATAAAGTATGTTGTTTTATTTGATTGCTATTAGTGCATGATGAATATGATTTCTGTTTTTTCCTGTAGAAAAATATAATGGTTGCTCCGGAACCGACCACAATTACCGATGAAACAACGCCATTACTTGCATAATATAAACATTATAGTTCACGATATATTTTATTTATTCAAGCGGTCTTTCGCGCTCAAAATATAAATCTGCATACTTAGCATTTTTTTCTCGATTATTCTTGTAAATAGATCTGCATATCACAAAACTTCAGTTGACCTCGACTAATATCGTATTTATTTTTCCGTCTGATTCTTTTCAAATAAAATAATCATTGCGTACTTGTGAAGTAACGAAATGACACTTAACTTATCTCAGATCGTAAAATTTATGATCGAAATAATAAAATGTAAAGATGGATAAAATGACGATAACATTCCTATAAATATATCGATTATGAATTTGAAAACAAAATCTAATATTGTCATAGAATTTGTTTGGCTGAGTCCGATTTCGAAGCCAGTTCAATGGGTTCTACTAAAACTTTTTATTTAAAAATATTTCAATAAATAAAACTGATCACAATTTGCTTATAGCACACTATACTGGTTCTTGTTATTATATATACGTATATATCCATACAAACGAAAGAATATATAATACAAAATAACTTTGTTCACAAAATAAATTCTTCGATTTCTTCAACAACAGTCCTATTCGGTATGGGTTTCGGTGCAGTTGTTATTATTTTTGGTCGTTGCAATTTATCGTTTTTCAATGGATATTGTTTCGATGTTGTTTTTATTGCTGTTGATACTGTTGTGGTTGCAGGTGCTGTTTTATCAAAATTAAAATCCAACGGATCAGATTTATCAGTTGTTGCCGTAGTAAATGTATCATCACGACCATTCATATGAGTGGTTGGTTTATTAGTTTTGTTACCAAATAGAGAATCAAATGGATCAACAGATCGTTTCGTTTTCGTTGGCGTAGAAATTGGTACGCCGTCGTGTAAATTATTGACACTTTGATCAAAATCGAACATATTCGTTGTTGCTGTTACACGTGCAGGTGGCTTCTTTTGATGACCATTTGTTGATGATGTCGCAGGATCAAACATAATTAGTGATGAAGGTTGAGAAGATGGCGGCGTTTTCTTTGTTGACTGATCAGAAGTTAACGTTGACCGTTGATCTTCTTTATCGTCTGCATCGAATGTACTATTCCATTTATCGTCAAGTTCATGTTTTACGGAAGGTTTTATTGGTGCTAATGGTTCCATGTTTCGGAAAGGATTTAGTCTTGTTGTAGTTCCATTCGTTCCCAATGTAGCAAATTTCGGGTCAAATGGTGGTGAAGTAGGAGTAAGTGAACGTTTATGAATTGGCGCCTGAGATAGATGCTGTTCACGTCGTTGAATAGTTTTTGATGGTGCTGATGGAGGTTTTAGATGTATGAAATCGCTAACAGTTTCTTGGTCTAAGTCACTTCTATCTTCATCAGTACTCTTTGGTGTTGATAAACGACGAACCGGAGGTTTTCCATTGGCTGGCAAAGGTTCTAAAATGAAATTTTGTATTTTCATATTCAATAACTGAAAGAATTAAAAGAATATTTTTTCTTCCAACACCGATTCAACAAATAACTTTCAAAATTAATATTAGACAGTTGATTAGAATTTTTATTGTGATAATTTTTTATTATTTTAACACAACAAAAGATAAAAAATTAATCAGTGATAAACAAGCAACGATTGTGAAACAGATCTTGCACAAGGTGTAGAAAGTCAAAACATAGATGTGATATATTATATTAATTAAGACTACAATCACACTGAATGGTGAGTTACTATCAATTATATTAGTATACCTTTGGTTAATAGTGATGCTATCAACATCAAATCATTCACAGAGTAAGATTTCGATCTTAAAGGTTCGGAAAAAGGAACGGGTTCAAATTAGTACTGATCTAGATGAGAAACTCAGAAAAGTAAATATTAGTTTATGATCAATGTCTGTCTCATATAAGATATTCTCAAGTGAGTGAATGTAGGAGTTAGATTTTGTTCTAGAACTTGAATCTTGTAAGTCGTTTTGATAAATATTTAGAGAAAATACTACCATTTTCAATTGTCGATGGTTTTTCATCGTGTTTTACATGTGATAGCACCACCGCTGTAGGTTTTTTGATTGGTAGCTTTTGTTCGACGTTAGGTACGTATTTTTTTCGTTCGCGTTTTGGCGGGGAATTATTATTGTGATTAGGTAATGGTAGTGGTTTAGACTTGAGTTTGAGTTTTTCTTCTTCTCGACGTTTTTTATCATATTCGAGAATTTTTTCTCTAAAACGTGGTGATTCATCTTCGAGCGATTGTAAGGAAAGAGATTTCAATAGGTTCGTTGATGAATGCGATGGCCGACGACCACCCCGTTGAATGTAGATATGCATTGTATCAACTTGCCGTGCTTTGTCTTCGAATTTAAGAAATAGATTTGTATACTTATTGGACTGATCGTCAATTTCACGTTTAAGATCACGTCGTTTTAATAATTCTCGATGAATTTCATGACGATAGTTTTTCTCTAGATTTTCAATTTGCTTTTCCTATGAATATCGAAAACGTAAAATCGATGAAAGAAAATAATCTCAGCTTTTTACTTGATTAGAAAGTTGTTCTTGATTTTGTTTTAATTTTTTATTTGTTTTTTTTAATCGTTCACGTAATTCTTCGGCATCGTCAAGATCTTGTTCGTCTATTAATTTTATATAAGCTCTCATTCGTCGTTTTTGATCGTTTAAAATACGATCACGATGTGCCATTTGTTTCTCAAGTTTTACATTAGCTTCTCGTTCATGAGTTATTTGTTCTTTGACTTGCTCAATTTCATTTGAAAAATTTCGCAAAACAAGAAGCAAATCTTCTTCTTGACCGGCAAATTTTGTTAATTCTTTTTCTTCACGATGTTTTATTAAACGTAATGTTCGATTTTCGACGCGCTCTTCTTCCAATTGTCGCCGTACTTCGGCTATACAAGAATTTAGTTGATTCATTTGATGTCTTTTTGCCGATGTTATCCGTTTCTCAAATTCACTTCTATGATCTTTTGTAGGACGCTTCAGTATGCCTTTACGATGTTTTGGCGGACGAATATTCGGTAGAAATCTTTCTTTGCGTCGCATATAATTATTAGGATTTTTATTGATATGATTAGTAGTTGTATATGAAGCTATTAATTTTGAATCCGTAGCACGACGAGGGCTTTCATATGAATGCTGTTTAGGCGGTGGTAGTAGTCGTCCTGAACTAAATTTTTTTTTATTCTCTAGACTTCTCTCAGTATTTGTTTGGCGTTTGTCATCATCGAAATCTATGAGTAAAGATAACTAAAATTAATGTAAAAAAAGACAAAATTGTATAGAACCTGATTCGTAAAGTTTTGATTGAGGTGTATCAATAGGTTTTGCTTTCGGTGATAGCGATGCTGGTGTCTTACTAAGGTTAGTTTTCGATGGGGTATGTTGACTATTTTTGTTCGCTTATTAAAATCAATTTAATATAAAAATTACAAAAGTCAAAAAAATCAAAAAAAAATCTTACATGTATCTGAAGCTGTTTGTGGATGGTGGATAACAGGCTGAGTTTTGATAAGAGTTGTGATGGCTGCTGATGGTGATATGTCATCTTCCTCAGGTTTCTTCTCAATATTATTATTATCAGTTTTTGATGCGCCGAAAAACTCGCCCATACTGTCGACTGAGCTTTTACGCGAAGACATTATTGGTTGTGAAGTTTTCCCTTTATTTCTATTCTCAATGTTGGAAGATTTATCTATCTACAATAATAAAAAAAGCCAGAGAGAAACAAAAAAAAAAGAAAGGAATTTTATGTCACATATTGAAGCAAAACGAATAATTGCTGCTATGCAAAAGGAATCATAGCGCAATAGATGTAAGCAGAACACAGCAAAGAAACCAAGGTAACGTTGTCGTCTATATGTGTGTGTGTGTGTGTGTGTGTTTGTTCATTTTACCTGCACGAACAAGAATAAGCCATCAATCAGCCAGTCTGTCGGTGAAAGAATAAAAACCATCATCACCATTTCTATTGTTATCGTCTCTCTCTCTCTCTCTTTGTGTGTCTCACTTTATGTCATAGAGAATTGAATATCGATGACAGGATTTAAAAGAAAACAAATACATCGAATTGTTTTTCTTCTGTTAGGTAGTTTTTCTTCTTTCTTATCACATGCAAATTTATGATTCAAACTACTTGCGTTTGTCAACAATATTTTCTCAAGAAGAATAAATAGAAAAAAAAAGAAAACAAAAGGTTTAACTCAATATTATCGACTAAACCTTCGGGTTGGTCATTAAGATTATCTTATTCAATCAATAAAAATATTCTAAATTGTAGAAAATGAAATCACTTTTTTCTTCTTTCTCTTGAAATATTTATTCTACATTGAATAAATAAAATAATGCTTCACCATTATTAACATCGTCATTCTATATAGCAAACATTAATTAACCAGTATCACCAAGTAAATTAACAATATAACTCATAAAAACGAAAGAGAAACATATGGTAAATATTAGTTTTGCACACTGCCGTAACTAGGAGATGCAGTGCTATACGATCTTGAAAGGAAATCCATGTAAAACAGTGTCAACTATAGTAACTAATATGTTTTCCTTGCTTTTATACTATTTAATGGACGGAGTACAAACGGTAAATTCAGTGAACCAAGCATTTATTAGAAAGAAAAAAAAAAACTTAGCTTGTTTTATAAACTCAGAATCAAATACGTATCTCACCTTAGCTACTAAAAACAAATACTGATTCCGCTATTAAATAGAAACAAATTAACTTCTTAATGCTCTGACAGAAATTGAATTCATACATATTTTAAAAAAGTAGAAAGTAAAACTCAATTTACTCTATACCTTCCAGTGAGAAAAACAGGCCACTTTAGTTTCCGCCGCATTTTCAGCTCATTGAAGTTTACGCATTATTAACGAGTAATATATCACTTAGTGTAGTAACGTTTGTACTGTAGCTTACGTAAGAAATAACGAGTGTAGAGTGAATTCAAGTGAAGCTCACTGTCTATTAAATAGAGTTACTTGACACCACCAATGAACAAGGTTTTTTTTGTTTACATTACAAATTGATGATTTCACTTATCGCCATCGAAAAACGAGATATTTAATATTATAAAAAAGGAGAAAAAAAATGAGACGAATACTTGAAGGTATGTCGTATTGAATAATGCAAAGTCAATAAAAAAAAACATTTTGCTCTTCGATTGATTATTTTGTATTAAATTACCCTATAAATTGAACCTTTCATATTTTTCTTAAACTATTGAGATGATTCTGTTGTTTGTCTTACGGAGTAACGTAATATTTTATTACAACGTACAGAAACGTCGTTGAATGTTTCTAATAGGTATCGACAAAAATTCTGACTATCAAAAATGGTAATTGATAAAGCTACTTGTCCGTTTTGTTTTCTCTCCTTTTTTTTAAGAAGCTTTTTAAGCATTAAAAAAATTGATTGTAGAATAAACAAGTTTGACAAGCTACTTTATTCGACGATCAGTACTTGTGTGACCTGTTTACTCTCTTTCGACCTTCGCATTCTCATAAATTAATAGCCTTGAATGATAATGAACTGAAACTTTTCTATTCGACTGAAGCTTTCAAATCTCTCTAAAAGCCAAGTTTCTCCATAAAAATACGGCCTTCATAAAAGATTTGTTGTAGGAAATGTTATGTAATCTAAATTGCTGAAGATGATTTCGAAAATATAGACACTTGCACAATGGAACCGATAACACGTGAATCTAACGTAGTCTTTCGCCGTATGAATCAATAGAAAACATAGATATTTTATTTTAAAAATAGCTTTTCAATCACTGATAAGTAGCTTTTATTTATTTATTTCTTTAATTTGTCATACCTATGAATACGAAAGAACAACGGCATTTGGACGCGTTGATAAAACAAACAAAGATACAATGGAAGAAGAAAAAATATATATTTATATAGATTGATATCTATTCAAAACGATGAAACAACAGTTCCAAGAAGACCATCAATAATATCAAGTGAATCTGTAAGCGTATAGAATAGTTGTGAGCGATTTTCATTTATATATTCCAAATATGTTGGATAATCATTACATTCATTTAAGTGTTCAATAAATTGCATATGATGATCGAATGATGGAGAATTTTTAATATAAGAATAATTAATTGAAGCTTTATTGTTTGTCTTTTTAAAATTATTTAATAAGCTGCGCGCCCATGAACGCGAATCTTTTTCAAAAGCTACTGGACGATTGTAAAGGGATTGACGAGTTAAATAATCACTTGGTGATAATTGTTTTGAATCTAAACAAAAAGTAAATTTTTATTTTTCCACAAGAAAATTCACGTTTCTTTTTTACCATATTTTAAATGATTTTGTTCAATTTGCCATTGTATATCTTGATCGTGTGTTAATGTTTGTCCACGTAAATATTCAACGAGATTTAAACTTGGTGAACTTGTCGATATCGGTTGAAGTTTGTCAAACCATTTACAAATCTCTTCTTTATCATCAAATGGTGATGAACCAAGTAAATCTGTTATATCGAACATTTTTTTATTTGTACTGACGAATTCAAATGGTGATGGATCAACCGTAATTGATGTTTCCGTTGTTGTGACATACGAATGATAATCACTTGTTGACAGATCAGATTTTAATTGTGTTCGACCATCATCTATATCATCATCATTAGGGTTTAATGGATCTAAAAACAAAGTTCCGTCTTTTTCTCAAATCAAATCAAATCAAATCAAAATTTTTTACCCATCGTGAAAATCATTAAGTCATCATTTGAATCATCATGATTATTATTTAAACTCATTAAAAGTATTAATAAGTTCGTATTCACAAGTGCTTATACAATCTGAAAGTAGAATTATGAGTTGAATATATTTAATTAATTCAATGAAAGATTTTTTTTCGTTGTCAACAAGAATTATCTTACTTTACAGAATTAGTGTACATCTTTTAAGAGAATATATAGTTCTGCCTTAAAGTCAATTAGAATCTAGCCGTTAATTTAAATATATAGATATCTTCCGACCGTAAGAAACGTCGAACATTGTCAATATTATGTTTCTTCTTCTTCTCATTGTGCAATGTCGACGGTTTGAGTCTCAAACAGACTAGACGAATTCATATTGAAATAAACAATATGATTGGAGAAAAATTTTAAATACACTTATATCATCATTTTTTTTTCCTTGTTATTATTGAAACGATTTTATCTTCCTTCTATGCACCAATCTAATCGTTGTTCGTTTCAGCCGTGTACAGGACTGAACGCGCGATAGTGTCGCTCAAATGTAATTATTTGAATAAAACAAAATATAAGGATATCGTTAACTCTTGTATAGATCATGACTTGCTGAAGTATACATGTTTATCATAAGTACAGGAGCCGTGAAAGCGCCAGATGTAAATCACTCCAAAAATGTTTAACCTTTTCCAAGGAAAATTTCTCCTATATTTTACTTTCTCATATGCTTCCATTATTTGGTGTTTTTCGCAAGATCTCTGCCCAAATATTCAATTTATGTTAGTATACAGACTATGCTCGTTATTAGTGTAATGAGCCAATGGAAGATCGACCCAAGATCCTTTTGGCATCATTCAAATAGCGGTGTAGCAACCCTTCTACAAAAGAATTGAGTTAGTTATCAGAAAATATTGTTAATGTCGTTTCGATTGAATGCATTGGCGCGAGAAAATCTTTCAATCATTTTACAAAATTGACAAACACAACTTCAAAAGGCTTATATAGATAACGATCATGAGATGTTTTTTTCTTCGACCGACAGACATATGAAATATTTCATCTATTTTTTTAAATTAAGAGAAAAAGAATGATATTCAATCGAATTAAAATCTATGGGCTAGAACAGTCAATAATCGATTCTTTCATCTCGTGTTGTCCAAAAATAGAAATAATTAAGATAACCTCAAAATATTTTGTTTACAACTCGTACTATCATATATCTTGAATTTCTTCTATCGAATAAAACAATGAGCAGCAATAGAATTTGCTTGAATTTTCACATTTTATTCCAGCAAGGATAGCACAAATAGCAATTGTTTTTCAAGAGCAATAGTTAGCAAACAAGACGATTTTCAGTCGTAATATATTCGTAGGATGATATCATAAAAGCAATGGATAGAGATTAAAGTTTGTGTTGTCAAAATGGAGTTATTCATCACAGAGGAAAACCTTATACTGAACTTTTATGTAGTTGTATTCAAATACAAAAAACCAGGGATATTCAAATCTACATTAGAAAAAAACGAGAGAAAAAGTTCAAGGATATGAAGTTGTTCATTCAAAGATATGAATTAAAGTCTGGTCGATTGGCATATGGAATTTTTCCTGCGTTACAATCGTTGTTATATTGAATCTAAGATAAAAAAGACCAAAAGTCGAAATCAATCAAAACGAAATATTTGATTGTTATGTTTTTAACTTACACGTTTTTTTTGTGTAAAATATTGTAAAAATCCGCCAACTAGAAGAAAAAGTGCCGGTGCAAGAAGTATTCTTGGTGATGAATATAAATAACGATAACTATTTTGTTGATATGCATAGAGACGAATATTTTGTGGATCAACCTGTGCAAGAAAATAAGAAACAGCTCATTGGAAAGTATACAGAAAAATATTCGTCTCTTACAAAATGTCCTGGTACACTTTGATAGAATGGATTTCTGTAGCGTTTTAGAAATTCTGCTTTCGTTGTAGCACGTAGCTGTGCACGTTTTTGTATTAATTTTATTTCATCTGATGTTAAGTCCCATTCGGAAGGTATTGATTTTGCAGACATTTTCGTCTAGAAAAATAACGAATACAAGCGACAAACCCGAAATATATTTTCTACCATTGAGACTTTTTCTTTGACCCTCATTTTTATTGTTTTTACTTCGAGTAGATGTCGCCTTTTATAGATTTTGCGTTTTTTCTTTAATGAAATGAACAGAGGCTTGAGGAAGCATGTAAAGGTTCCTACGTGGCTTGATCTATTGTGTCCTTAAATTTACCACCTACACGAATACACACACGTGTTTCATTTTCATCGATTATTTGAAGACAGTCAAGTCGATTTCCAAAGTAAGATAAACTCAAATCGAAGAAAAACACTGAATGAATTTATATTATTGTAATTATTTTGGTTGTTTATCTGAATAGAAGTTTAATCATGCCTGCTCATCATTCAAAACGTAAACGAGCTAATGAAGTTCATAGCAGCAAAATCACACAACGTGGAAATGTTCCAAAAACAACGAAACAGAGTGATGCTAAAACCCCTGTTGGTCCATGGCTTCTGGCATTGTTTGTTTTTGTTGTAATTGGTTCGGCTGTCTTCCAAATAATTCAAAGCATTCGAATGGCTTAAATGTGAACATTCTTATGATCATCACTCTATCGTTTTTTCCGTTCTCTGAAAATGTTCTATTGTTTTTTAAATCTTTTTCTTTTCCCGAAGAATGATAGTATGAAAACTGTTCATTAAATGATAAGAGCAGTACTGCATTATCTTTTTTTTTTGATTATTATCATTATTATTATTATTATTATTATTGTTGTTGTTGTTGTTTTTGCGGCTTTTTTCTTCTCTTGCTTGTACTACATTTAACAACACAAACATGCAAACATATAATCGTTTTATTTGGATGAATATAAGAAATGATTTCCAGCCATACAAGGAGAAATCGGGATAGAAACAGTTATGGAAGTTTGTTTTTTAGTGTGAACATTTTATTTCTTCTTTATTTTAATTTATGCCATCTGCAATTATCTTTCTTTTTGATTTATTGGGTTCTCTTCATATGATTCGTATATTGTAAAAAGGATAAAAACGAAAACACTCGTTGTGAACAGATTTAAAAGCAAGAAAATAAATCAACAAGAGAAAAACAAATGTTAATCGTATTTCTTTCCCTCGAATAATTCCATTTAACGTATCGCGGCTTATTGTTCTTTTTAGTTAAAGTGAGTAATAGAATAAATAAATAGAGTATGAAAAGAAAAAGCAACAAAGATAAATAAAACAAGCGCAGAAAACGATTGTTTTTCCTTATTGCAGATTTTGTAGTCAAATGGCTGACGCTAATAGTTTAAGACAACGATTAGCATCACTCGTCGATGAAATTACGCAAGATGTTCAAATAATTGAATCAAGTACGTTGACTAAAAAACGAAAATATTGCAATTCTGTTTTCTTTTTGTTTTGTTTTGTTTACAGCACGCAATTTAAGCACTAAATATCGAGTGGAAAAATCAATCAGTGACGCTACTAAATTAGTAGGATTCTAATTTGATCTATGAGATAGAATACTTAGAAAATTTTGGTTTAATTATTTAGGCTCGTGATCTGGAACGTCTTGATCCATCTTATGGACGTGAATATAAACAACGTATTGACGCCATACGTCAACGTTTAGTATGTTCGAATGATTTATTAAATCTTTTGTAACTGAAATATAAAATTATTCTAGGAAAATGCTAGTAAAGTTCCAGTACATGGCGCATGGAATTCAGGATTTGATGTAGAAGCTGATGTAAATTGAATTATATTGAAAAACTCGATTCTCTATTTTTTATTATCGATGTTTAATTAATCTTTAGAGACTTGGACAACAACAACGTGATCTACTTTTGCGTGGTCATTCTTCATTAGTTCGTACCGGTGAATCTTTGCACATATCACGTCAAACTGCTCACGAAACTGAACAGTTAGGAAACGAAATCATGTCCGACTTAATCACACAACGTGAATCACTTTTACGCACGCAAGATAAAGTACAGAATTGATTGAGAAATATGAATTTAAAGAAAAATAATGTTGATGAATTTCTTTAGTTGAATGAAGGCGGTGAGCATTTAAAAGCCGGTAGTAAAACGCTTCGATTGATGTATCACAGGTAATGTATATTTTTAAATATATTTTGACTTATGAATGAGTGCTGATCGTACTCTCAATAAGGCTGCGAGTCATTTTCGATGATGCCCAAGCAGACAAAAGCATTGAAGCTCATTGAAAAAAAAGCGCGTTTTTGCCTGTTTGTGTGTTAATCATAGAATAGAAACCAAAAATTCTTCCGATAAGTTCGACCTATTTCAATTTTTATCAGCTTTTCTTTTGAGTCCGAGCTTTGCTACAAAAAGAAACAATATTTCATCTGATAAATTATTGATTCTATTTTAGAGTTATAATGAACAAAGTGCTTCTAATCACAGTCGTTCTTGTCGAACTCGGCATTTTAGGTGGTGTAATCTATTGGAAATTTTTCTCTAAATGAGATAAACTCACTATTTTTTTTCTAATTCTTTACGACATTTGATCGTCTTTTCAATCTATTTTTTGTTGTCATCAGTTGATTTTCTTTATCATGTAATTTTTTTTCTTTCATTTCAATTCGATGAATATGATGTGTTATTTATTAACTGTTCTAGATTTATCTCTTGTCTTTAATTTTTTTTGTCTATTTCAAATGAGTAGTAATCTATCAGCACAATGGGAAAAATTATTACGACCTGGAATATCAACTGTAAGAATTTGAGGATTAAGATTATAAATAAATGAAAAAAATTTTAATTTTAATTTTTATAGTTATTCTATCGAGAATATCCATTGATGGAATTACGTGATGATGCTTGTCAACGTATTCAAGAATTTCTATATAAAATTCTTCGTTTTCTTCTTCGACAATTTCCACATCGAGTCGAACTTGAACAATGGTAGGATGAATGAGCTTGAAATAGGATATAGAACAATAAATCGAACGTAGAGTAAAAGTTCTCGGGAAAAGTATTGAGCGGTGTCAATACAAGACGACTAAATATTCTGGAATATGAAGTTACTCAGCCTAATAATAAATTCTCTTGAGTTTGTTGCCCGATAATATTGCGAGTCCGTAATGTTGTGTCTAATAGTTTATATTATTCGATCGTAAATTATGGCATGTCTCTTTGGAATGTTGTACTTTACCCAATGGTTTATCCTGATAAGAGAGAGAGAGAGAGAAAAATGCGACTAATTGCTATCACAGAGCTGTTAATATACGAAATACGTTTTTGCAAAACTAAGAATTAACAAGACTATTGCAATAGATGTTTGAATTTAACAAATCAACAAATGCAATTTTGCTTTTTCAAGATTCATCAAATAAAAACATCTTTCATTACGTTGTCAAAATTGATGAGTGTTTATATTAATTTATCTTTTTTTCTTCCTCATCGTACAATGTCTGAAAGGATCAATCAAATAAACCATTATATATGATAAATATCGTATTGCTCTCAAAAATTTCCAGCTCTATATATGCACCCACAATATACATGTTCCGTATTTAATCTTATCATTTTGTACTTCAACTTTTAATTTTCTTGACTAGAAATTTTTCTTTTGGCTAAAGCAAAAAGAGACGAAAAAACACGCTTAATCCTACCACGAACACTTGCAACTTGAATAGATTGCTCCTTGCTAATAATAATCACAAGCATGAATTTGCGTTATCTGCATTTTATTCCAAAGAAAACAAAAACTAATGGCTTACATTCTATTTTTTGGTACAAATCTTGCTTTTAATAAAAGGTCACAATATAAAAACGAAAGAAAGCAACGGCATATCAATGTAATATTTTTTTCCTCGGTATCATTCTTATTTTTTTCCTTCTCTTCCAAGACTATAGACATCAGTTGTCGATATCTCCTCTTCTCGTTGTCTGTTATTTTGGTCTATTTTGCTTGAAAAATAATTATCGCTGACTAGAAACAAGGGAAACCTTCTGGCTTTCTTTTTTTTAGGTTGTATATCAATTATCCGGAAGCACAATATGCATTGAATCGCAGTAGTCGAAAACGAATTTTCTCCATTGATCAACTTCAAACATTAATTCACAAAGTGTGAATTGAAATCACCCTATTTGTATTTAAAAAAATAGCCATCTTGCTTTTGTTTTCTTCATAGGAATTTGGAATACAGAATGAAATGGATATTAGTTATGTAGCAACAACACTTGAGCATTGCACAAAAGATTTACTTAAAGTTTGTTATGAAATTATTTTTCAGCTTTTTCCGCTTATATTTATATTTATATATTTCTTTTTAAAGCTTGCTCATGATTATGTTAATCGTTTGGGAAAAAATGAAATTGTAGCTAACGATATTGATTTAGTAATGAATGCTGATACGGTAGAGATTAATAGTTGATTAATACTTAACAAAAAAACTCTTTTTTTTATCGATTGTTTGAAAAGATTTTCCTTGACATTCTTCGCTCTGATTTAAATTCAACTGCAAACGGTTCATCATCAATTTATAATATAGATACGTCCATAGCAGCAATGTCCTATAATGAATTAATACGACATTTTATTATCACCGAAACGCAATACAAAGATGATTTAGAATTATTAATTAAATTTTTTCGTAATCCTCTTCGACAATTTTTTGATGTCGATCTACAGGTTTGCAGGAAAATTTTTCTTCAATGCTTTGAATTTAATGACTTTAGACTATCGAAAATATTTTCGGTTGTTTGGACGATATCTACGAATTAACAACGAGATTTTTATCAGATCTCGAAGATGCAAAAGAAATGAGAGATGATATTACCAAGAGTATTTCATTATATGAACCATTTCAAAATTTTATTGAAGTAAGTTTTTGTAACCCGTGAAAAATATTATATTGAAAACGTGCACAAATACTTTCGAGAGATAAAGTGCTTGGAATTACATGAATGCCCGAATTGTTGCATTATATATATAAATTCTATGCGATTGAATCAATCATTCAATGCCATCTAGCTGACAGTTCCAGGTGTTAATAGCTAAATAATCGATTCCATGTCAAGCTGTCAATAAGACGTTGTCATAAATCTACTATCGAAAGTAATTCGTTATTAGCCGAGTATTTTCTTTTAGTTTATGAACTTGTAATCTCTGAGGATCGTTTATTTTATATTTCTAAATATTTTACTGTGTGGAAAATAAATTTTATTTTCTCTCAGGGAAATGAATTTGAATGTTATACGACCTATACGCAAACAATCCTAGCAACAGATTATACAGATCAATATAAAAAAATGTTAAATAATGAACAAGTAAAACAATATTTAGAAGTACGTATGCGAGTTCTCTTGAAATCTTATTAATCTAAAAACATTTTTTCTCTCTATAGTCAAAAACTGATCAAATCCAAGAAACATATCGCTATCTGTTACCGGGATTATTGCATATACCTATTCATCATTTTCAACAATATCTCGTCTATTTAGAAGTAGGAAAAATTTGATTTATTTTCAAAGAATATTTCTTCTTTTTTTTTCATTTAAAGAAATTGGCTTTGTTTCCAGAACCTGAATCAGCTCAATTAACTGATGTACTCAGTGTATTAAGGAAAAATAGCCATCATATTAAACGACCTAAATTATACATGTATAGTGGGAATTAGAGATTACCAAGAAAAGAGCATGATGTATTTTTATTTTAGGAATCTAAGTATTCATTCATTTACAATGCCAAAATTAACTGATAATAAAATCAATAATTGGAAAAATTTAATTGAAAATTGGGATATTAAAGAGTCAACAGCACTTATAGATAGTCATCTTAAACATGTTGTCATACAAAATCCTTCATCAAATCTTATAACTTGCGCTGATCGACGTGCTATTCTATTTTCAACTGTTTTATGTCTCTGTAAAGCTCTGTCACATGAAAAATGGAAATTTAAGGAAAAAATTTGGCTAAGAAAATTTAATATTAACGATCAAATTATTATTCCTGGTAGAATTATTTATAAGTTTCAATGAGAAGAATTATTGTTTTTGTCAATTTAGATCATGAACATATATTTGAAATACAATGCGATGAAAAGAGTTATATTTTAGCTGCTCGATCTGAACAAGATAAAATTCAATGGTTAAGTTTACTTATGTACATACGAAATAAAAGGTAATTCTATATTTTTTTGAAATAGTTTATCTGTTGAGTTTGGTTTTGTTGATAAGTAACATAAACTCAATATCTTGGGGAGTGGGGGGGGGGGGAGGCTCTTGAAACGATAAACACCAGATTTGTTTCGATCAAAAGACCACAGGATTCGTCGAAATCAGCTTGAAAAGTATTTTCTATTGAACTTTTACTATTTCAATTTTACTCATGTTCGATATCTGTTTTAAGTCTTTATGACACGTGTTTAGTTCCATTATCAAGGCAGAGAAGATTTTCAGCAAGCTCGAATTAGTGTATGATAAAAAACAGGGTTGATGAATATGACTTGAGTGGTATATTCCACGTACTACAGATATAAAAATCAACATGAAACTTGCAGAAATCCAAACAGATACCAGATGGCCGAATAAAGGTTAAGCAATTATCAAAAGACATACATGAATACATGTATTAATGCTTCTTGTTTGATATTTTAATTACGCTGAAAGGTTGACGAATATGAAATAGAATATCAAAATGATAATAGAGTACCGTCATTTTCTGAGTACGTACAATCAGCTGTAGATTTCTCCTGTGGCATAGTTTTTACATTAAAATGATAGAGCTTAAACATAGATCTGGCTTGTCCATTTAAATTTTTAAGGGACTGTGCTAACAAATGTTTCCTGTTGACATATTCTAAGTACTTTATAAATTCGTCAATTATCGCCATGTGTTCATATTGATTTTTTCTATGGCTAACCTTGACGTTTAAATATCATGATTAATCATTGTACTATTATTCAGTATGGATAATTTTCATTCTGAATAAACAATATTCACCGTAACCCATAGCAATTGACATTTTCCATCTAATCGTCATGTTAAGCAATATGATTTTGTAATTAATTTGATTTGATAAAAAAGAAAAACGCGTAAATTATATATTGACTGTTTTTTTTAGTATTCTCCAACGTGAATTATACAATATTCTCGTCAGTGAAGATGCACAACAAGTTTTATTAACACCTGATCCCAGTCGATACCAGTAAAGTCAAAGGATTTTATTTTTCTAAACTAATTTACTTTTGAAATAGATTTTGTGCACCAAATTCCCCGACAAACATTCTCATTGATTATCCTACGAACGATAAATCATCATCATCATCGTTTATAATTCGTGGTGCAACTATCGAAAAATTAATTGAACATTTAACACATCATCAATTACTTCATCCACGCTTTGTCAAATCGTTTCTCATGACCTATAAATCCTATTGTACACCATTACAATTATTAAATTTACTTATCGATCGATATAATATTCCCGAGCCAACACCGGCATATCCATATACGGAGTATCAATTAAAAAAATTTCGTAAAGAATATGTTCAACCCGTTAAACTAAGGTAAAACAACTTTCAACTTGGATAGGAATAATGAATTGCTTTTTCTTCGTGTGCAGGGTACTTAATGTCATTCGGCAATGGGTTGATAAATATCTAAGTGATCTGATTGAATCCAATGATCACGTACTTGATCAATTACAAACATTTTTACAATCCATACCCGATACAGGCGGATTGTATCAATTTAAAACAAGTATTTTGAAATTAATTGATAAACAGGTTTGGCAAAACAACGCTTGACTGTTTTTTTTTTTTATAATGAAAATTATTTTTATTATAGACAATGGAGTATCAAGACCCATCGAAGAAAAATCAGCAACGAGATTTAATTAGTGATGAACGGGATCAAATGGAAGATCTCGATGTTTTTCTTGTACGTAATTCCTCAGACCTTATATCCATAACGTCATGGTATATTAGATCTTCATGACATTTCTATTGGATAAAATGTGTCCCAAAATAGATAGAATATAGCAATCTTCTTGTTGTTAGCAACAACAGTTAGGTCACGACCTACACCTTCGCGGTACAGACACTGTGCTTATAGGTTTTCGTGACCCGCGAAGGAAAGAATAGAGTTCGAAAATTTTCTTGAGATTTGATGACAGTCGTGATAGTTGACAGAATCATGAAATATATCGATTATTGAATGATCGATGTAGCAACACTCTCACCTCTTCAATGGACTTGTTCCGGTTCGGGTAGATTTCAAATTTAATTTTCTTTTTTTTATAGTACGATATGAAAGAGTTATCTGACCAAATAACTTTAATCTGTTCAACTTATTTTCGTGCAATAACATCCCAAGAATTACTTTATCGTTTACCAAATCTATATAATTTACAAAATTATATGAAATTTCTTGATAAAGTGGTTTGTATTTAACAACAAAAAAAACCAACAACGATCTATTTTTGCTAAATGGAATTCATTCGTTTTAGCTTGGGTTTTGGTGTAAACGATCCATATTAGAAACATCGAATTTCGAAGAACGTATTGCTGTCGCTGAACGTTTTATTCAAATTGCTATTCGAGCATATGAAAAGAAAAATTTCGCTGGTGTTTTTGCTATTATCTTCGGTGGAATTATTGATTTAGAAAAATCCTTACCACATACGTGGGATGTAAGAAAAGATTTTCCGTCTTTTGATACAACAAAAACAAAAAATTCTATATTCTTTTAGCGTCTCAGTAAACAAAGTCGAACGTTCGTTACATTAGTTGATGATATGCTTGGCGAAGATTCACATTTTAAACTATATTTTGAAAAATTACGTCGAAGTCCTTTACCTGTAGTGCCATTTATTGGTAAGAAAATTTCACAACTAAATTTCTATGTTTTAATTTATCTGACTTCTCGTTAAGCTAATAATCAAACACGTATTGCACAAATGAAAGAAAAACATAATGTGATTGTTTTACCAACTGGTGAAACATTAATTAATTTTCGAAAATTTCAACAAATCGGTGAACATCTATGTGAAATTCAACAGTATCAAAATATGCCCTATGACATCGCTCCTAATTATGATATACAACGAGAATTGAAAAGACTTAATCCAATGAAAGGTTTTCAAGATGAAAATACTTTTCAAAATTATCTTGTTACACGTAAAGAATATATTGAACCAGCCGATTCGTCTCCACGAGTATTTGTAAGTTAATCGATTTGATAAAAAGATTTCGTTCGAATGATTGTATTGTTTTCATAGGCAATACGACGGCCGACACATACATGGCGTTCTCAGTCACGCGTTTCTCGTCTGTTTATGATTCCATCGACTTCATTCAATTCACATTCGCGAACAACAAGTCAATCTGATGAACATCATCAGCAAAAATCAAATACTGATTTAATACCTCGTGAGTTAGCTTTGCTTTTTAGGAAACACAATTTGAAAAGAGGTAGAAGCCTGAGAATTGTGAAAACATGTGATTTTTTGACCTTAGTAGAAGTTCTAAAAAAAGCTTTCGTTTTCTATTGATCAGTTATTCAAATTTTGATATTAAAATGGCGTTTGGAGATACATAGTATAAGGAGAACAGCCAAAAGCATTACTTTTGTCAAAAACCTGTATCTTCTAGCAAATAGACGTATCATTTAGCCGACTGACTATGAACACCTAAGTGTGTATAGCCAACTGGCTATGTGTCCTCGGAGGATAGAATCAATTTGTTAAGAAATTTTAAATTGCTATTAGCCTTGCGTACTCATTATTATTAATATAAATTCGATATTTTAAGTTTTTATGAATTTTATCCGCTAAATTGTTTCTTAAAATTAAGAAAAGTGCGAGTCAGGTGCTGTGCAACTAAACGAATATAGAACAAAAAAGCAAATCATCCCAATAAAGATTAATTAATATAGAAACATTAATAGGTGTCGCACTGTGACTCATTGAAAAACAATGTATGCTGTTTTATTATTGTCAGAATATTTAACAAAAGTGACATTGTATCAACTTTCTCTTAATTTCATCTTCCTTCCGTTGGTTGATCATGAAAGACAAGATTTCTTTTCGTGAATAATTGGATTAAATAAACTATTGTAGATTTAAATAACTGTACTAGAATATTAGTTTTGACTCTTGTGTTAATACTCAACAGTCGATAGTAGGAGTGGCACCTTAACTTCACTTTAAAATTTAAAGTTAAAGCAAGACACTTTACCAATTTAACTTCAACAAATCCGAGTGAAAGTGAAAAGTAATTTTTTAGCTCTTCATGATTAATTCTCTATTGGTTTTAACTGTAACTTTAACTTTAAAATCAAAGTTGAAGTGCCACCCTTAGTCAATAATCAGATCGTTGTTGTTCTTCAAAACAAATGTGGTAAGATGAAGACTTTTCCTCGCAAAGCAACTCAACAATATTGGCCATTTTTAAAGTATTTAAAACTTATTTTCATCATAACCATCAACAATCATGCGACGAGGATAGAATGCGGGTGGGATTATTCTTAAGGACTTTCAAACACCGTTGTTTTTGTAAGCAAAACGTTTCACGTGACAATTCTATTAAATATATTTGAAATATTAAAATATAATTATTGCCTTAGAAGCATACGAAGGTAACCGATATTGTTTCAAAAATAGTTGAATTTGATTCATATTGGGTGATTTTCCTATATTCGTTTGGTTGCGCAGCAGCTGACTTACTTTTCTTGACCTTAACAAAAACAATTTATCAGGTAAAATTCATAAAAATTTAAACTACCGAATTTATGTTGATGATAATGAGTATGCAAGGCTAAAAGTAACTTAAAATTTCTTAATAAATTCATTCTATCTTCTGAGTGCACATAGCCACTTCCTTAAAAATGAAATAGCTTCGATAAGAACTGAAAATCCATTGCGGATATCTCTAAGTGAAATATCATCGGTAGGTTCTGCTGTTACCTCCGAAAAATCGTTTTTTTCTAATGGAAATGGATTGAATTTCATTCTATTTAGGTCGACAAATAAGTTCAGATAGTAATCTATTACCATCAAGTAATAGTTTTGCTTTTGATAATTCTCTTTGTGGATCCAATGATGATTTTCATTCGGCAATTAACACACAAGAACCCAAACCTCCATCTATACCACCTCGAGCACCACGTACTTGAAATCGAAGTAATAGAAGAAAAAACGTCTTCGTCTACATAATGAACTACGTATCATCTTGTCAGATTCGGTTTTTTTATTTTTCTTGCGCGTGTCTTTCATAAATTATTATTATATATCTTGTTTAACTGATGCTGTGGATAATAAAAATTTAACAAAAAAAATCTACTGATTCGTTCAACAAATGAAATACTTCCTTGCTTTGCTCACAGTATAAATATGACCATTACTAATTTCCGCCCTTCATCTCTATGAAATAGCACATATGCGAATGAAAACAAACGCATTACGGTTGCAACTGGCATTCCCTCATATTTATCATTTGTCCAGTCAAAGTGTTAAGAGACGGAACTTGTTCAAAATAATTTAGGCGAACATCAAAATATCGATTTTGACTAGACTGCATTCAATGTTTCATTTGTTGAACCGGAGAAACAAAGGACTGATGAAAGACTACAGCAAGATTCTCTCTTTGTTTCGAATAATTGTCTACAGGATTGCAGTTGCGATAGGGACCTCATTCTGATTGACATTCAAACATAGACTTTTCTCTAGATTTCATATTTTTGGTGCTCATAAAAAATGCTGCAATTGTGGCTTAATGCTATAGTAATATTGGCAAAAAGTACAGTTTGTATTTTTTAAACAAAAAAACTTTGTTCCTTTTCCGAGAAAAAAAATTCATTTTTACTAATATCTACACATTGAAAATATTCTTCTATTTAGCTCATGCACTGCAGATAGTAAAAAATTGCCTATGATCTACAATTTATTTATATCTTTTAAAAGTACTCTAAAAATTGTCTTAGCCGAAATTCGTGCCCTATATATTTCCTATATACGTAGCTGAAGAACACTCCTGTATTAATAGCCTCTTGGAATTCGTATTTTTCCAAAAATTGTCCCTACGAAGCTAGTCGATTGGAAAGATCTGTAAAACACTTTTTTTAATCACAGACAATTAGCGCATCCAAGAAAAATAATTACAAGTTCTATGTTGAACTGTAAAAGGGATGCTCAGTACAAGCGAACATATGTAGAATTCAAATTTCGTTTTTTTATACCCAACACTAATTATATCTCAGTGGATTACATTTTATTCTTACTGTTCTATGACACGCTCTACGGATTGCATCAGCGATTATTTAGTAGTGTAATGAGCAGATGCTTATATTTTTACCAGAAAAGGCAAGTTTCAAGTTGAATAGATGATATATTTTTTGTACAATCAATGCAACTGGTTGTTCGAGAAGCTTTTTAGCAAATAAGATGGCACTCTTTCACTTATTTTTCGCAAATCGACAGCATCTGCAGCAATCTTCACTAAGCAGCATTTTTGTAAAGAAGCAGTATACTTATCCTTGAACGGCTAACTATGAAAACTGTATGCATTTTACTGAGTTTTTTAAAGTTTTTCTTCACAATGAATTTTAACTGATCGTTATTCTGTCTTTTGCTTCTGCAAATTCAGCACGAGTATCACTGCGTTAAATAAACACACCCACACCCTAGTCTAACTGGTTAGAACATCTGGTCGGATAGCGGAAGGTGTGGGTTCGGGTCCCACGAAGTTCACTTTTTCTTCGTTCTGTCATATAACATCCGTGACACTGTTTGTCTCTTTCGCTCTTAATATGTCTCTCTTTCATTCCTTTTATATCCTTTTCATTCTATACATATTAGAGCTAACAATAAGTCAAGAAAGAAAGCAGCCAGAGACTTGCAAAAATCAAATTATCTAAAAAGACTCGGAAACATTTTTTCTCTAATAGTATTTAGGAAAAAATTATTTTGAACACAGTGAAACTCGAAACACAACCAAGAGCAAAGATAGAGAAAAAGAATTCTTGATAATAAATTTCAGCAGACCATGTAAACGATGATCTTATCAAATCATAATACGAAATAAATGTCATTTTATTCATTATTTTTAAGTTATTGCTAAAATTATTGGCTTTTAAATGATTCTGTTTCAATTCTGCCAAAGAAAAAAGGACGTCATTATGTCTACTTTTTCAATGTTAGGCTTCTTGATTCATTCAACTTTTAATCGAGGACCTTTAACTTTGTCGCTGGCATTCACCTAGTATCATTCGTCATGTCCTAATCCTTCGTATGAAATCACGCGTTGTTTTTCATTGTTCTATCAAAACAATGGCGAAATTTTCTTCTATATGAGTCATGGCTTAAATATAACTAAACATACCGAAATTTTCATTGCTTACCGTTAATGGCATTATTATCCTCAACAACATATTCATATCATATTGATTGCAAAAAGTACTACAATTAGCAAATATTCTTCAATTCAAATGCAAAGACAAACGAGTTGACATACGGACAAGAAAAAAATCATTGGAGTATTGAGAAGTGATTTTGCAGTTTCAGTGGAAAATAAATAAGCCAATCTTTATTCTATCTTAAATTTTTCAATATAGCAGCAAAATAGACGTCTTATTCATTCAAATTTGTTGAGCAAATGAAAAAAATGAAGTGTTTTGTTCGTCTCTCTACTAAAATTACAGAATCAACTGAAATCTTTATTTAGCAAGGATTAATCGATTTATTCTATTGCGCGTGCGAAATATATTCACCAGTTAATCCTTAAAAAATACAAAAGAACGAAACAATATAAACGAGTGAAGTTTTTCTTCTTCTTTCATTTAGTTCGTATGTGAGACCAATACAGTTGAGTTTCAAGAAGCTCTTGTGAAAAACAAAAATCGATCGTTACTGCACAATATGGTTCATTGGCAATTACTCATCATTTTAACCTTATTCATATCGGCTACGTGTCTGATATGGCCAGACGATAATGACAATGATATCACAAAAATGTGTTTTCATTTTGCGGGTTTATTCGATGGTGATTTGAGATGTTCTAAATATTGTGAAAGCAGAGGCAAAGCTGGGGGAACGTGTACTAAAAAACGATGTGTTTGTAAGGAAAAGAATAGCGACGGAGACAATAGCGGCGAGGGTAACCAAGAGAATCAACAATTGACAGGCTTTATAAAACCAAATTTAAACATTAAATGCCAGTTGGGTTCAATGATATGCCGAGTAAATTGCAAACAAACGGGTAAACCAGATGGGTCGTGTATTAATGGAGTTTGTACCTGCTCAAGTTAATATAAAGTAAAGCCAATACATACTGTTAAAAGCTCATATTTAAAAATGATCCTTTTTTTGAAAAATAAAATAATCATAATTGAAAACAGCGTTTGAAACTAACAAATTACTAGTACATCCTAGAAGTATGATTAGCAAAACTTTAATCGATAAATGTTTGCTACATATGATCTTGAATTATGAAAGAAAATAATCTTCAACAATGATCATTGATTGAATACTTTTATCCAAAGATGAAAAATATATCATTCATACGAGTTTAATCGGAAAATGCTTTTTTTCCTCATTTGCCTATTGTTACCCATGTCGTTGAAATCGCCTAAGTTTTGATGATACATCGCGATTTTGATAAATGTTAGCGATTTACCGCGAAATACCGTTGATTTTTCTAGGATTGACGATGTATCGCAATTAATCATCGATTTTCTGAATGGGGTAGATGCATCGTGAAAAATCGTCGAGTATTTCGACATTGATTATTCTTTTAAGAAAACTAACTATTTTGAAATAATGAACATACTGTAAGCCAGCTTAAATAGAAAGCAACGATTGGTCATATTATTTAATTAAGAGCAGAGAAAACAGGAATATATAATATATTTTATGAATGAAAATATATTCTTAAAAAACTATAGGATATATTAGGAAATCATATGCGGAAAATTGGGGATTTGAGTAACTAGTTTATATGAATAAAAAAATTAACTTATTAATTTTTTGTTATTCATTTGAACAGTGTCACACTAAGTGGCATAAGCAACTACAATGATTAGCATATAACACAAGCGTTGGATGAATTACATTTTGACATAAATTTTCATCGCACTCGTAATAGGCAGATGAAATTCACTCTTTGTTAATTGATACATGCGCACCAATCAGACATTTACTATTTCTTCTTTTCTTTTTTCTTTTTTCTTTTTCGTTGTTCTCACCAGTTCAACTGATGTAAGGACATTGTCCGAAACATTCATATGTGTTAGTTAACAAAGAATATAGTTTATTCTCGACTGTTTCTGTCTTTTCGTCTTCATATGAATGTTCGTGCTTCAAGGTAAATTTGGTTCAATTTTCTCATCCACAGAAACTTATTTTTTTAATAATTGTTTTTCATCTTATAATATTATTAAGACTGTATTTTAAAATATTTAGATGCTACCTTGAACATAATCTACAGCTTTGAACAATAACAATGTGCTTGTTTTTTTTATACATTGTAGATATTCGTTTTCTGAATATTAATGTCGAATCCAACTGGAGTCTATTCAAATCGAGTATTGAAACAAAAATTTAATCATTCTACTGATGAAATGTCATTTGTATGGCCCCCAATTCATGACTCCATCTTAAGTAAACGACGCAATCAAAAACGGTCCAAAGTATCTATAAGCACAAGTAATGTTTAATCGTTTCTTAAATATATTTCACCATTTTAATCATTTCTATAGATGTCAACGATCAAACGATGCCACCTTTACCAATATCGAATGACAGCAACACAGAACGATAATGAAAACAAGACAATTATTTATACTCTTCACTCTCTTTTTTTATAAAATAATGTGCTACTTTTGTTTTTGAATATTTTTTGTGACATTCATGCATTTTTTTTGTTGAAAATAATTATCTTAATAAAGCAGCTGGATGTATCATGTAAAACGATAGTATTAATCCAATTATAAAACAAAATGCAATCTACTCTGATCGGTTAATGCCGATCATGATATTACACATTGATCGCGATTTCGGTTGAAAATCGAAAAAATATATCGGTAAAAATCGGCAATTTGAATGATTATATCGCGATAGATCTCACGATAGATCGCCCTAATATCCCGCGATATAATCATCGATTTTTTAGCGATTTTGAGGACATGGGTAGATAATCATAAATTCTGAATTCTATAGCTTTTACAGTTGATAAAAATCAGTATCTCATAATATTTTTTTCCTTTTCCAATAGCCTAACTCAATAGAATGTGTTACAGATATTTTGAGACAAATGCCAATACCTGAGAGCCTCTTAGGCCATCACATATTGATTTCTACACCAATCGATACGACATATAAGAGGAGAGAAACGGAAAATAAAACACCATTGAAATATTGCAAGTGTCTAAATATACATTCTTTTAAAAATTGATTATGATTTTAGATGAAGAATGCACTTTGTTGCCCTCCATTCTGAAAAATATTTTTTCAATAAAATCGAGCTTAAAGGCTGTATCAGAAGAAAAATAATTAGGGCAATCGTATGGAGAAAACTGTCGAAATTACATTATAACACCCACACCCTCAGACGTGCCGTTGTGTCAAAAGGTAAAATTTTGAATTAATCAGAATGGTAATCAAATTACTGAATACTCATACGTCTGTATGGATCCATTTCCGTTTTTCGAAAAATATGCACTATTGTAAAAATAATGACTAAGAAACCGAAAAATAGATTTTTTTTTATAAATTTCGAACACTGTTAAAAGTAATAGCTTTGAAAGTTTATGATGAATTGGAATAGAATCATGCGGCTTAATAGTAGATCACAATTGTGAATTTTATATATATCGTTTGAAGCTAAATATTGTAATTGATTCAAGAATAGCGATCTTTTTTAATCTAATTAATATGATAAAGTGAAATTAAGCATAGACGATTATTCAATATATCTGATAGATTTCAGATCATTTTTTAAGCGTAAATATTTTATTTCGGAAAAATACAAAAGTCTTATTCTTTAACCAATCTGAAATATGATTTTTCGTTCTGATTGTTTGTGTTCATCGTCTCTGGATTCTATTAAACAATTATCTTTTATTTATTTTAAATTTATGCGCTTGAAAAATCTAATACAGATGTCCGATGAGCGTTTTAAAATTTTAAGTCGATCTGCTGACGAGATTATTAGTTTATTTAATAGCAATCGGTCGATAATGTTTACACTTTTTTTAACAGGGCAAGAAGAAAAAAATGGATTACTAGTCTGAGTCACTTTTGAATCGCTATTCTGAGTGTAAAGGAGGCCAATTAGTACGTGATCCTTCCGCCATCTTGACCACTTCGACATATAATTCAAATCCTTCTATTTGCATTGAGTTATAAATACGGGCTCCAACTTTAATTGCGTGCATGTCAGTTGGAAGATAGACAGCTTCCGACTTTGAGCATGAATACGTGTTCGCTGGACGGTTCCACGTGCTACTGTATTAGGATACAGATTGTACGAAATCAGAATTTGATTACCGATCATGACACGCACGAAAGACCATGCTTGAATTGATGGTGTATGAGTCTGATCTTAAATTCGGATCTTGCATAAACGAGATTTAGCATGACACAAAGCGATCGATAGTTAGGGAACTTTGAAAAAAACGGATGTAATACTGTTAACGATCAATAGTGTGATACGCGAAAAAGAATTGTAGGGCTGGATTGCAGCCTGCACTTTTACCTTGTAGTGAATCAAAGTGAACTAAAAGGCTATCCTATCGAAACGTGCAAATCGTTCTGTGAAGCAAGTATACTAAAAAATGCAAATAACTTACGATAGAACAAGAGACACGAATTGAAAAGGAATCGAGAGCGAAAGCGAACCGAAATTAAAAATACAAAGGGGAAAACCGGGGTGTTAACGCAGATTTGTGTCATGCTTTCACACCCATCTGCATTATTTCACGCTCTCAGATCAGTAGCTATTTGCATATACATAAGACTATTTTCACGAGCGAAAAGAAAGAGAAAATCCATAAATAGTAATTTTGCAAGTATGACTCACGGCCCACATTTCTTTGCAAGATGTTTCTTGGCATGATAAACCGTTTTCTAGAAGTTACTATAGACAGACCAAAAAAGAAAAGTGGCTTTCAAAGGAAACAAATGTCTTCTCGGTTAGTTCTATTAGATCTAAAAATTTCATTATAAATATGTTTCATTCTATTCTGAAATATCGTCTTGTTAAATTAGCGAGAATTTGGCCAATTCCTATTTAATTAAAAATCAAATGTTATAGATACAACATGGGTAGACCTCTATTAATTCTCTTCATTTTTTCTTTGAATATAAGCGTTTCGAATATTATCATTTACTATTAATTTCTGTAGCTGTCTTAATGTTAATAAATTTTCCACGATATTTTCTGTAACATATTGACAATCTTTAATATCAAGTATGTTCAATCGTTTTAATTTTCGACATATAGAATGTATTGCATTATCGTCAATTTTTGTTTCGCTCAAATAAAGTCGCCGCAGCGTATTACTGTATTTAAGAAGTGTTTGAATAAATACATTCGTTGGCGTAATGCGAAAACAACCATTAAGATTAAGTTCAACCAAATTCGAACATAAATTAGTTAAACATCCAAGTGAGTCAGGTTTCAGACAGGAAGAATTTTCAAAAGAAAGTTTTTGAAGTTCTCGAAAATAGACTTTTCGTGCAGGATCGTTCCTAAATTCGATTGGTGGCTCCAGAAAATTTTGAACGGATGAAATATTTGTTGTTAACATTTCGCATTTGTTTAGATAAAGGCCATGCAACTTAGATGGTAAAAATGCTATATTTTTAATAGCGTTTTGATTGACATGAAAATCATATCGTGACAAATACAAATACCGAAGATTCGGATAGGATGTTTTAATTAAAGTATTTAATTGTTCAGTAAATGGAGGTGGCTTTCCGGCACTACTAAAAACTAATCCACCGGATATTTTCAATACTTCTGTACAATCACGAGGAAACCGACGTAAAAACTTTAGCAGTACTCGATTGGAATAGTTTTTTGATGATAAATCAATCGTTGTCCAGAATTCTTCGTCGTAAGCAATACGATGAAACCATTTACAAACACTATTTGAACAAACATAGAAATCAAGTTAACGAGAAAAACAGTTAGAATTACCCAGCAATAGGAATAAGTTCGTCTGTTTTGAGATTTTTAAATATTGAAAGAAGTGTTTCATCAGGCAATTGAAATATTAATCCATTTTGTTCAACATATTCTTCTCGGAGTTCTTTTTTTCGTTTTATACGAGTATTTAAGGACATTTGAGAAATAAAAAAATACTCAATTTGAACTTGTTGGTTTTCATATGAGTAAAATCTGTTATTGCTCAATCTTTATAAAATTGCATCGCATCGCATTTGACTAATTCATGAAAATATCCAATGAAAAATAAACTGTTGACCTCTTTTTATTATAGTAGTGTACGATGGCGCTACCTTTTATTGAAACTCACTTCAAAAAATGAATGATGATACCATACAGTTATATATCTGATTTTACTAACAATGAAAGACAATAGCACAGAAATTGATTGAATGTATCTTTTAAAGATGTAAAATATCGCCAACTATTCAAAGAAGAAAAACAAAACCTTTCGAAGACACTTTTCTCAAGTCTGATATAAGAAGCAACAGTAAACTAAAACTAATTCGAATGGCTTCTAGAAAAAAGTTTTAATCCATAGACATGTGAGTGGGAAAACTTTACAGAAAAGACTTAATCAAGTATTTGTTCAAATAAGTATGTGACTTAGGAGCCATACTTAATCAGCCACTGTTAATTTATTCAGACTAGTAGGCAAATTATGTCTGTTCAAGAATTACTCATCTTAGCCACGGCACTCTGTGCGGAATAATTAGTCACTTGTTTGATGAAGTTTAAAGATTAGATTCAGGCATTGAAAACTACTGAATCGATGATATAAGACTTGATTAACTCAGCACAGGACATTATGAGATCTGAAAAATATTTCTAGATAATGCACGATCGTAAAAGCATCGTCATTGCTCATAGTTTCTCGTCTTTCGATATCTGTCAGCTTTTCAAAAGTTATTTGAGTGTTTATTTTGAGGCTAATTTGCTCTGCCAAATTTTAGTTCGGACAATCTTAGCTGATTTTTGTTTGGCATATCCAAAATATAATTGATTAGTTTCTTTTCTCCATCAAAGAATATTGGAAAAATATTGCCGAATAAATGAATTAAGCGAAACAAAATATGGCTATTTACTTCACTATAATAGTTACAGAGTAAAAAATTCAGTTAATCCTATCATTTGTTTTTTGTTAGATAATGCCAAATGCTTCTAAGACATGACCGTGACCATCGTGGCCGTACCTATTGCTTACAGAACAGTTAATCAACAAGAACATATTCTCTAGAAAACAAAACTCAATTCTTTCCTGAGCAAAAATGTTCAATAAAAGATATAGTACGCGATATTTCCTGTGAGTTCAAAATTGTCTCCATAGTAGGCCTCACGAATATAATTGTCTTGAACACATACTCAAACAGGATTAGGAAAAAGTATAATTATTCGACAAGTGCACTTGGGTAACGTCCCCATAATCATCGCATCTTTTTTCATAAATATAATTACTCAGTCTGGACATTCATGCGATATCGTTAAAAATATATTTCAAATAACTTGAACAATCTTACATAAATCCTTCTCTGGTCGACGCTTTTCGCTTTCAATTGAATGCTTTTTGGTGTTTGAAGCACGCCTATTATTAAACAATCCATTTTTAGCATAAACTAAAATATTCTTGTTTGTATCCAAAATGTTACATCTATGAAGTCAAATTATTTGTAATCACTCTAAAAAAAATGATATGCGTCTTACAAAACGGATCATGCGTCTATTTTCCATATAATGTATCATGCTTGTTAACTAAAAAAAGAGCATTCTATTTCAATAAACAAGAAGGAGATACTTGATAAAAGAAGCCCTGCTTCTAGTTAATTAAATAATCACGGGTTATTGCTCTTTCATGAACATACACCTACATATAGACAGACACATTCGGCAAGGAAATCTTGATACATTGTCGCACAATGTAAAAAGATCACCGATACTAATTATTAAGAAAATTTTGATATGTTAACATTAGCCGTATATGTCATATAAACATTGGCATATGTATCTGATTCGTAAACAAAACATGCATAGCGATATCGCTAATTGTAATGCAGTTCTCTTCACACAGCATATTATCTTCATATAAAATAACAATTGATTAAGTTCATTAAATATTTTTTTTTATTACAAACTGGACAAAATAATAACACATACAAAAACAGAAAGTCTCTACTTTTTCTTCTTCTCATAAAATTCCGTCCTCGTCTTGTATTGGATTCGAATTAAGACTATCATCATCTTCGTGATTGAAGCTTCTAATTTTAATTGGATATTTTTCATTATTTAAATGATTTTCTGCATTAGTAATTGTTGTAGTCGTTGACATTTTGGATTTATTCGTGTTATTTTGTGTCTTTCTATATGAATTCGCCGATTCATGAGATAGTGATAGACGTGTGACACCTGATTTTGACACTAACGGTTGCGAGTTGACTTCATTTTTAATGTCGCCTATTGATTTTGAATTAGCATCATCATTTGATGTTGTATCACGGAATTCTTTATGGCTATTTGTAAAATCGGGTTTGACTGGAATTTTCGATGCAAAGTGTAATGAACTGGCTTGAGCTTTCAATTGTTTTGCTAGACGCATGTTTTTTTCAGGATGTACAATTATGATATAAACCTTCGGAGAAAATAGACAAGCTAACGCGACTGAAGCACATAGAGATATTGTTATACATAATGTTGATATGTGTATCTAAGAATAAAAAGAAAGAAAATCATTGCCGAATAAATAACTATGAACTTCTATATTCGCTCCAAAAGTACCTCTACATCTCTGTACAGATTTTTTGTAGCTGACTGTCAGAAAATTCGAAAAAAACGATGACAATTTTGCTTTTGGTGGCGAGCGGAGGCCTACAGTGCATATTTCACTTACTTGATGACGACCAGTCTCATAAACGGTAAAGTAAATCGGAAGAAATGCTAACCTATAATAGAACAAAAAAAAGAGTTAGTATACCGAAATGGTTTTTCTTATGAAACAAAAGTTTTACAAACCAAATAATGCATGTTGTATAGCAAGTAAAACCAATAAATTTTGTTTCATTAAAATTTTCCGGTACTTTTCGTGTGCGTATAGCGTACATTGTGCATACAAGTACAAGCAAAACATTATACGTTAATGAATAAAGAAATGTATGTTTATTCATTTGACATTTAAGCGTAACTGAACGATCGTAAGCTATGAGATCGACAGCTGGACGTTCATATGCAAGCCATAGCAATGAGAGAAGTAGTTGAACCAATATTAAAGATGAGCAAATGGCTACTTGAGAATTCGGTGAAATATATTGTGGGCGTAATTTACCTAAAATAATTTATTAGAACAAGTCAATATCCTTCATAGGGGTTATCATAGTAAATTGCCTGTTAGCATGCCGCCCTACCCTTTTATAATTATATTATAGAAACAGAAAAGAAAAAGACTATTTCCTTTACGAATTTGACTTAGAATCAATTGCTAGCATTGAGCCGATCATAAATGATTTTATATTAAAAAAAAAGAATAAATCTATTTTCTGACAAAATAATCTCGTCGGCAAAATTATTTTATGTAGATCTGCAAGATCCAGTTGAGCCGTACTGATCTGACTTTCACGAGACTACGACTCGTAGTCTCTGATATATTTTAAGAAAACGAGGCGTACAATAATCGACTTGATCTGCTTGGTATTGGTTAAAGATACAATCATGGCATGTTATTTTTTTCATTCTTTGAAAAATTATTCAACCGCTTATTTTTGGAAGCTATTGCGCGTGCATAATTCGAAAAGAAGCTTTATTCTGCATGAATAGTTTTTTATCGTTGGATTCAAAAGACTTCTTTTGATTTACACCAGACACAATGAGGAAAAAAGTCATGTTTTTCATTTGAGGCCCAATCAAAATTTTGCCATTTAACATACCAATAGAAATCGTATTTCGAATTGCGTGATATCATGTTCATGAGGGAAATTTATTTTACTCTTTTTCTGTTTGAGAAAGAAGAGGACCACTTTAGATGTCTGTCGGCACGTAGTTCATGCAGTCTGATTGTGTCACAAATAGCTGGAATAAAAAGCTTAATCAAGTGCAGCGAGAATAGTTCTTTTAAATTTTATTCGATGTATCCTTGCTGTATACATAAGTGGTATAATCAATTTTGATTAGTAGTGCAAGGATTTAGCATGGAAAAGATTAATTACAAGCTTGCCAATAAAAAAAACACTAGTGTATGCCACGTGTAATGAATAATTTTATTCGAAGTCATACTATTGATTATATGAGAACATAAACGGCTGCTATTGCCCTTTTCAGTATAGTTTTCTGTACCGATAAAAGAAGCGACTGGAAAGTGCATCAACAAGAAAAGTACTTAAATGTCTAGCGTCATTCTTTTCTCTTGAAAACAGAAATGAAATTTTCAATGAGAACATAAACATAATATAAATCACAGGCAATCACATGAAGAAAAACAAATTATTCTTACTCACCTAGTTTTACACATATCAACCTTACTCATTTAACACATTTGTTCTCACTAAAATTGTTTAGAGTAACTGAAGGATTTACGATTCATTTTTATTCAATGCTTTATCGTAGTGAATTCGCTCGAAAAAATTCGACTTTACCTTGTTTTTTTGTGCTTTCAAATATTCTTGCAATCCGATTTGTTTTTGTCAATAATGCAGCATACATCATTGAAAATCCTAATCCAATACCTAACCGTTGAATAATACAATTTAGAATGTGTGGCTTTAATAGAATTGGAAATGTCATTAAATAACATAAATGAATGCCTGCTAACATTATAAAGCAGAGTTCTTTTCCACTTGCTTTAACAACAGGCGTTTCTCGTTTCTGATAAAATAGTATAACAATAAATAGAGTAAGAATATTTCCAATAATCGATAAACAAATTGGCACAAGTGCTTGTATTGATAATAGTTCAATATATGTTTCTTTAAGTTTATAACATACTGTACGATTTGCCGTTGGCCAATATCCAATAGGACACGGCTCACAACGTTCATGTTCTTGTAAGCCAACAACAATCGATGTTTCATTACATGGTGTACATACCCAGCAGCATGAATCGCCTTGAAACTGTTTCAATTCGCCTACAAGACAGGGTTCCGAACAGCGTGAAACTGGAATTGTTGTCACTGACGATAGACCTTGACTATTTGAACCCGGCCAAACAATTGAATCAACCGCTATATTTAATTGTCCGTTTTCATTTTGACCTATTTTCCATTCGCCAACAGATACATATTCGTAGGCAGATGCTTTCGTGTCTGACGATGCTAAATGTGATCGACGATAATTATAGATTCGATAATGACCTGGCACAAAACGTTCGGCATTGAATTGTATTTGTCGAAAATCAGGCACTACAATATAGACATGTTTGTTTTTCTTAGAGAATTTAACATTTAGTTATATCAATAGCATTAGAAACATGACAGAAAAATCTATCTCGATGCATACTAATAAGTCTGAACTTTTGTGATGACTAAACATTAATAATAAAGGCGTCTAGGTTCACAAAAACAATTTTTTTTTATCTACATACGAATTCTTCACGAAATACTTTCAATCAATTTCTTTTGTTTTGTTATTCAAACATAATAGACACTTTCGATAGTACGCCATATTAAGTTTTTTTTTTGCTGTATAGTAATACTCTGGTAAGCTCTAGTTCCTATAGAAATTTTATAGTCGAATTTTTCCACGTTTGGTTTAAACCTGTCAAAAAAATCTCTATGTTCATTGATTCTGAGAATTGGCATTTATCAAGCTGAACTTGACAGAAACGGCTTGATCGCTGTCTATATTCTTAGACAATATATAACTAGGACAATGATCGATCATGTTACGAATTGTTTGATCGAGAGTAATCGAGTAATGATTAACAATTGGCTCATTATCCATCGTTGATGAGAATCGAAATGAAATTTTTTTGCGCCAATGCATTTATCATTGATTATTATCAAATCGCTTTGACATGCGCCTATCGATGACAGAAAAATAACTCACTTGAAAATGTTTTTTCTAGGATTAATTGAAATAATTTTGTACCATTTATGTGATCAAGAGACACATTAAAGCATGTGGTTGATGTGCAATTAAAATATGAATGTAATGCATAAGCAAATACGTAAGTTGCATCAACAATAAATTGTAATTTACTATCCCAATTGCTAACATTCAATTGATGATTCGCACATTGCGGTGACGATAGTAGATTGCAGCCAAAACGATTTTCCCAAAATTCATTAAACCATAGATTTCTCGACGATGTCGAATGCTCATCACTGACCGAGTCTTCGTCATTATAATAATGATTTTCATTTATTTTTCCATGGATAATATCAGGTTTCAATCCGTTAAAATAACGATCGAAATTTAATGGTTGCATCGAAACAAGTTCAAGTGTCAATGCGCCGACAGCTATTTCATCTGTTTCACCATTGATGACAACCGAAGATTCTTTACCCTAAGAAAAATAAAAGAAATCAGAAAATTATGAAATCAAAGTTTTCATTTTTTGAAAACTATACCCAAGCATCGCTAGCAATAAAAACAGGTCGATGTGTACCATTAATTAATTTAATAGCTTGCAATAATTTTCTTGCATCTTCTTTCGTAACGAATAAAACGTAGACACGTGCTTGTACATCGGATTTAATACTTTCGAAGATTGTCTCGAGAATAATTTTGATATCAGCAATTGATGCATCACGTTTTAAACGTTGTTCATCAGCAATGCATATTCGTTGTTGCTGTCGTTTTTTATTTAAATTCACTTCATCATCTTGTGCATTCGATGATTTAAGTAGACGTTTGAATTCTCTAAAGCCACCTTCACCATAATCGCCATGGGAATAAATCGTATTAACATAGCTAAAATTTAACGAGTGCAATATATCGACAATTGCACGTGCTTGATTCGAATCGGACGGAACAGTACGAGCAAAATAGTCAAATGATGATTCACTTAATTTTGGTGTTGTCGACGCATAGGATATTTGTGGTATTTGAAATAAACGTAATAGATTAGCAACTTGAACGCTAACTGAACTTAATGCTGCACCAACAACACCAAATACGTTATCATTATGAATGGATTCTCGGGCTGATGCATTAGCACATCGGCATGTACTCGATGCTAGACGACTACGAACAAATCTTAATGATTGTTCCAATGCATAATTATCATCGGAACATGTATCAAATATCAATGCGCCTAGTTCAATACCAGGTAATAAATGTTTATCATTATTAATTTGTTGAATGGCAAAAAGCATGGCTTCTAAACGTTGTATGCCACGAAATTCGCTTATAGCTCCGCATGGTTCTCGTGGATATCCATATTCGTGTACGGGAAATAAGCCACCTAATGTTACATCACCTCGACGATAGGCATAACGTCCCGATGATGATATTGCTTCACAGAAGAATAGCATAAAAATCGAAATGACCAATCGATAATGATAATAATACACCATGAGATTATTTGCGTATCAAAGCCTAGACAAAATAAAACAAAATAAATTTGACCTGAATGAAATCTTTGTGAGAAAAAGTGTATTCTTTTTTTTTACTTTACTCTCTCTCACTCGTTTTCGAAGTTAATCTATTAGACAAAGACAACAACAACAAAAAAATGGAAGTTCTCGCTACCGCCATTCCTACTATATCTTGCTTTTCTCTCTCTCTCTCGCTCGCTGAGTTCTAGATTTCTCTTTTTGCCCAGATAATTACATGCTTCTGTCTTTCTGATTTTCCCTTCTCCCTCCCTCCCTCCCTCTCTCTCTCTCTCTCTCTCTCTCGTTTTTCATTACACTCAGTTTTGATTATAGAAATTAACTCATTTAATTATTGTCTTCGGTTTTTTTCTTCCTATGATACTTTTGTTTGAGGTGGTATTTCTTTAATAATTTTCTGTTTGTTGTTTATTGTTCAACTGAACGACTGCCCAAAGTCGACATGGATGATGACAAGTGACAAGTTAAGTGTTGAACAAATGCATTGTCTACCATTTCAATTCTAGTATTCACAGTATAAATGAGACAAGTTCTTCTTTGTTCTTTATTTGATCGTATCCTTCTCTTTTTGTATTTTGATTACGATAATGAATACTACATACAAAAAAAAAAGGAAAATATATCGTTAGTTCCATCAGACATAGAACGAGCGACATGCCAGTCTTCATCTTTATTTCTGCATAACATGCTTAAGTATTGGGTTTTACTTGTCATCTTATTTATTACAGAAAATTGTTTCTTTCATAGAAAGAAAATGATCGCGAAGACAGCATATTCAAAGCGACTTGAACTATGTCTTCCAAGCATTCTTTGACTAACGACGGAATAATTAATGGCTCGATGATGTGTAATTACAATTATATGTTAAAGCATTATATTCATGAGCCTATCGATGTCGCTAATACTTTCATAGGGCAGCGTGAACTTGCTAAATATATAGTTGACATATTTGGTTCTATGCTAAATCGTTGTAATCACGAATTACAACTTGTTTCATTCTGTTGAACATAAGGAATCGGTTGTAAAGATTTTATTTTTTCTTCGGTTTGTCTTTTCCCAGACGGTTGATTCAGATTGATATTGATAAGAACAATAAATCTTCGATCTGGGACAAAATTAGCTTAGTCAACAACAATGCAAGTCATTTTTATTTGTGTTTGGCTCGAGAAAATGGGACAAAGTCGTTTTGATTCTTTTCTGTGTCGCCATCGTTATCTTTCTCTGTTTAGCAAGAGAATTTCTTTCGTCTTCGAAAAGAAGGAAAAGACATGAATACATCAATAAAGCATGAATGATGAGCATGTTGTTAGTATTCAGTGTCAACCGAGAACATGCACATGTTCAATCTAAATCGATTTGTAGATTCGTGCATGTCGAATGGATTCTCTATTTGTTGTCAGAGCTTTACACAAATATATACTAAAATAATGACAATATTACATAGGTGGTGAAGCTGAAAGCTATAACAGTTTTCACTTTAGAATAAAGACACATCACGCATACGAAAAAAAGACACGATATATATATTGCCTTTTTTCCTTTTAAAAGCGTCATCAACACACACACACACACACCTACTACAATATATAGAAAATAAAAACGTCGCATTCGTGCGAATAAATCAAATTCAAATAGTTGAGATAAACTCATTTTTTACCAAAAAAGTTGCATCGTCTAATTACGGACTTCTTTCTTCATTATTAACGCACAATTTCCATCATGATCTATTCTTTAATTTTGAAATTTATTCAACCATATAATAATCAGTAGCTTGTGTCGCAGTTATTATTAATAAATTTCAATTAAACTTGATTGTAAAGAAAATAAAATCTTTATTGTCTATTTGATATTTTTTCTGTTCTCAGTTGTTCGAATAAATTGATCGATTTCTTGTTTATCTAAAATTGACCGCACACGACTTGTTGCTTTTTGATAAATTTCCATCAAATCATTTTTCATTGTTGTCGGTCGTAAACGTTTTTCTTCAAATAAACGATTGAAATCATCGATTGCTATTGGCTTTGTCTTGGTTAACATTGTTTGACGTTCAATGATCGTTGGGGCTTTTCTATTCTGTTGTTGAATTTTCGCTTGATGTCTGGCTTCATGTGCTTGTTTCATAGCTGATATGTATAAATTACGACCGGTGTTATTTATTAACGATTGCTTGGGATCAATAGAAAGCGTAGAATGAGATGAAAATGTGTCATCATCATCATCATCATTATCATCATGGTCATCGCTGTCAATTTTCTTATGATGAGTTTGTTTGCTGTTAGGAATAGTTTTAGTTTTTCTTGGAAGAAATATTTTTGATTTTGTGTGTTTTGCCATTGAGTTAGCGATACAAATAAAAATTTACTTATGAGAGAAATACATCAAAAATCAATTAATATGTCAAATAGAATATCAAGAGAAAAAGAAATTTACTCAAGCGCCAATCAAATGTACTTTTCCTTCTGCTATGTTTGTCGTTAAAATAAAATTCGTCGATATAAATATTATTTCTTTTTTTTTCTCGAGAAGGATGTTTTTCTATGCGACTAATAATTTCCGGTCAAAATATTTCATTTACATATGAATCATGAAATGAAATATTCTACTTTTAAAATTAGAATAAATTTTGGAATATGAAATTCCACATACATCAACGATTAGTTTTCTATCAATAATATTGACGTGTTCAAATAATAACTTAATGCAATTAGACAATTTGCTTCGAATTTAGATTCAAAGATCTGCTCATTGTAAGTGTCACAGCGCTCAATAGGTTCTTGGAATAGCCCCTGTTGTGCAGCTCTATTTATAGTTTGCAAGAAGTTACAAAGTCGAATGTTTCATTTCACTAGAATCTCTCAAGCTCAGATCCTGGATAATAAATATTTGCTTCGAGATTTTTCTTTTGCTGCTAGTGATTAAATAGCAGTTTCCTGTTTGAAAGGTGGATTTCTACAAAAGTTCATCTACTACTCTTACCCAAAAAAGTGAGTTCAATTGAACCCGGGATTTCTCATTGAAGAATTTTCCGTCCCAGGAACTCACCGGTATTTATCCTTAGGTTATTTTGTTGATGAAATATGTGTGTTGTTTAATTGGTTTCGACTAGGTCAAATATTTTGTTTTATTCTTATATTAAAAACTAGTTAGCTAGAAAATTCTTGAATTCGAAATCGATAAATCATACGTAGAAAAATATTTTCTTGCTAGAAGATTTTCACGAATTTCGCAAGTCATCAAATTTTATTCAAACGTTGGTTGACTAATGAAGCGTTCTTTCATTCAAATAACCTATTCATTCGTAATTTTTGTTAAAATTACCAACTTGACATGAGAATATGAATTTCTCCTTTCTTCTTATAGTAACAGTCAGAAATTGATTCCTAAAGAATTTAGTTCATTTAACAATGAAAATTTCATCATTTCATTCTCTACTTGACAGCAGTATTCTCATTTTTATAGAATATTGTTTTTTTCAGTTGAGATTGTAACGTCCCCCAGAGGAGATTATTTATTGTTTGAAATTTAGTAGTTACTTCACAATGAGATATCTAACAACTCATAAAAAAAAAGAAAGAAACACAAATGTTTTCATTTTACATCGTTGTTCGATATGGCATTTGTCGGTAAACTGCTGGCATTGGCGATGGGCGAGCAAAAAATACAATACATAATATTAGAAATACAATGCTGCATCCAGTAAAAATCAATGCAATAATTGTCATAATTAATTCTGCGCGTACAACAAACAATTGCCATGCAATAAAATATAAATATCCAAAAAATATAGCAAATGTTAATATAATAGTAGCAGCCGACAGAAGAATGCTTTCAGTTCGATTTGAGATTGATCCAAGTAATAAACGCAATAGATCCACAAAAAATACGGCTAACATTAAGATTATTTCTCCAGCTATATAACCTTGAGTAGGATATATAATTGTTGCATTTTTATACACAAAACAAAGAGATTCCACTAGTACCCAAAGAAATACACACCAACGATTTGCTACTAAAAATATTTCGAATACTACAGATGATCGGACATTTGACAATTCACTCGCACCAACAGCCATCTCAAATCAATAGATATTAGATTTTCTTTATCAATCCAATCAAAACAAGCATCACTGAGTTAAGGACGACATGATTAAAGAAATATGTTACTATGGATATCATGTTCAACACCAAAAAAAAAGAACTTTCTAAAGATGTCGCTACGTATCAACTACAGAATACAAGGTATTAGCGCACGTCTTTTCGTCGGATACATTTGACCATAGTGTTGACAATACCAACGATGACTTAACAAAGCCGATAGACATTGATTGACGATAACCCAAATTGTTAATGACATAAAACATGATGTTCGATGACTGATCAGTAAAAATGCAACGTATATAAACATTTCGGCTATGTAATTTGGACAAGAAAAATATTCAAATGGCCAATAACCGGTTGGTATTGGGTAATTTTCATTTTTGTTTCGATGGTTTTTTGCTAGTGTTAAATGAACATTATATTGAATATAACTTGCGTAGATAAATAATAAGAATGAGAAAGAATAATTTACTGTAGAAATATTTTTATATCCATATTTATCGTCAACAATAATTGTTAAACCAAAACATGGATAATGAATTAATCCAGCCAAATAATGAATAAAACTCATGGTTGAATTTTGACCAAATTTATGAATAAATTTACATTCATATAAACGTCGAAACATATGACAAATAAACATTATCAATAAAAATAAGCATGAACGATACCAAAGTAATAAAGGTATATTTATCACCAGACCGATGATATAGAAATGAATAAAATACGATTTTGGTACATCACTGAAAATTTTTTTTTTATCTGCATTGTCATTTTTTAATTTTCCAAATAGATAGAAACGTTCGAGAATCATATTAAGTATTGCTAGATTTGTTCTACCATCAATCAATAACCATATGCCTGGTACTAATACACCAGCTGATATGCATAACCAAAAAAACGACAGCAACAAGTTAAAATCAATTTCAATCATTTGATTTCAATCTAAAAAGTATATTTAACATTGCGAGAAAGAAAAGACTCCGTTTAGATTTGGTTGGCTACCCTGAATAATGATGAAAATAAAAATGTAGAAATGCAAACGAAATCTGATATTTTTGCCTGAAAAAAATGAACATTTTTTCGCCATTGGAGAGTTTACACTTCCCTCGCTTTCCGCCACTCCTGCAGAGATTACATTGAAGCAATCATTTCCTCCGACAGAATGTCATAAAAGTCACTCACGTACCACCGCCAACTGTAGTGGGCATCTTATTTGCAATCCCCATTCTAACTTCTCAGAATTTCTGCACCCATAAGATCCATCTGGACAGAATAGTAAACTTGAAGAATCTCCTTCTAATTGACAACAGCATCTACATCATGTTTTATGTTTTGATTCGGAAGAGATTGAAGGAGTAGTGTTTATTTTTTATTAGAACATTTTGCATATATATATTTGAATACGATTTGTTCATGACATATATACAAAAAACAATCGCACAGACATTTAAAAGAAAATAATTTTCGACCATTTCACAGTAAAGTTTTCGTTCAACCGAGAGTAGAAAGTCATAGTGGCCTGTGATTGAAAATTGATCTTCTGTTGTCAACTCGTAGGTTTTGATAGAGCTTACATTGACGACCTAGAACTTTTCTACCATGAAAACATGTAGTTTTATTGGTTGATTATGGAACAGTGTGTATTTTAACTCAAATGAAATATAGAAACATATTTCTCTGATGCATAGATTGAAATATTCGAATTCTAGGAAATCTACAATGTAGTACGTAATGTCGAGGCTGTCAGTTCTAACATTGATCTAATAATCGAGTCATAACTGATTGTACTGTTTGCACATCTACTGAAAAATTCTTAAAATTCAGTATCTCAATCGGCCAAAGTATGCTGATTTATCAGCTCGCGAATGTTATTTCTAAAATGAAAAAAATGTGTACTATTTCCTGGACTTACAATACGCACGGGTCTCTTATAAATATTGGAAAACTACGACTTTCATTCGTAAAAATAAACAGGTTTATTTCTCAGGCACTAAAATTGCCATCAAAGAAACACTATGACTTTCTAATCTAGAGTGAAAGATAAGGTTTACAGATACGTGAATGTATAAATTGTCTTTGAACCGGGAAAATATATCTAAACAAAAGCCTCATCATCAATAAATGGTATTTGTGTATAATTATTTGGTCTATCATAGGAATTAAGTCGTTGATAATTGATATCGGACAAAGCCAACTGTTCATCGCCATAATTGGATTTTGAATTTACGCATGCATTTCGTGATGAGCGTTCAGCAGCTTGATGAACAGAATGATCATGATAAAAATCTTGGCGAGCGTTATAAAGACGAAGTATCATTGGCACTAGGCCACATAAAATTATTGACGAAAATATCATGACATAAGCCAAAATCATCCAATAGTCTGTTGGCATTTTTAAGAGAAAGATAACGATGACTAAAGCCGATTAATAATACATATTCCTTTAGTACCATTGAGATTAAATCTAGAACGAAAATTTTTCTTATCTGCATTTCATGAGTATTTTTTTTCAGTAGCAAATATTTCTCCGACAAAAACAAATATCCAAATAATGCTATACTTTCATGTCTATTCGGATAATCTAAGTATTATGTCTGCAATTCACAGTCGAAATAACTACCGCATATATTCTATAATGAAAATTTACGATCGAAGATAAATGAAATTTATGTTTCAATAATTTATTCACTCATACCCTGCATAGTCAAAATGTGAAGCGCAGTGGAAGTAAAATTGTGTATTCAGTTTTTGATTTATGAGTTGCTAACTACGGGAAGTATGCATATCGACGATGAAAAACATGAATCGCGGAATATTCCAGTGAATGCGAAAGAAAGAACAACTAATCCTACACTGAAATTCGATGTCGCAGTTGCACCTGTCATATTTATGAGGATTTAAATTTCTAGTCATATATTCTTCGGCTATTTTCTTTTTGTAAATATTATCTTGCAATATTCGCTTTATGTTGGTTTTCAATCAAATCAACACAAAACTAAGACATACTTTTACGTAGAACCAACTATCAATATTTATCATCTAAAACAACATCTGTCGCTCCTATCATTCTCAATGGATTTGTTATTATAAAAAAATCAGTTTATTAAAAACTTACAAAAAAAGACTGTTGAATCATGTAAAACCCTGACACTTTGTTTACAGACAATTACATACGATATAGTCTTTAAGAAACAACACATCAAATTATTAAAAAGATAAACAATAATAATTCAGTCTAAGTAAAAATTGAATGAATGGGAAAAAAACTTAAGTAAAATATTACGCTAATCTTATTACTAAAGTTCAATGAAACTCTGTCGATCAATATTTAAGTCGAAATGTCATAAAAATACAATGTGTATCTCTATCTGAACTACTGAAAAGGGTATGTTTTCTTTAAAGAATTATTATCGATGTACTCAAATACCGTTATACATATAGCCATAGTACTTCGATAGCTTAGAAATAAGTTACACGTCAAAAGTCTAAGACTTTCAATCAACATAGGGTGAGAACTAATACTTTGGACAGAGAGTGTTTGTTTTGTTAACATGAGCCGTTGGAACAAATAGTTGTAATAGTTTCTAAATAGGAGATAGGCTTTTTATATTATACTGAAGTGAAATCGTTAGAAGATTTCTACGATTTTAGAAAAACAAAAAAATATTTCCAGGGAAAATAGACTAGGTAAAGAATCGACGCGAGCTCTCCCTGTCACGCATATTCTGACTGATGCTAATAATATTATGGAAAAATCCATTTGTCAATAAGTTTCTTTTCGATAGCAATACATTGTAAAGCTAACGTAATATATTCATCAAGATAAGACCACATTGTCAATTGCGTTGCTTGAATACGGTTTACAGCAAGTGAATGTATTTCAAGAAACATATTTTGCAATTCTTCCTTTTCCTTTTTTGTCCATGTTACACGATAATCATTAATAATTTGACGGTAAGGCTCGGTTATATAAGTTTGAGTCCTTGCAGCTGTTAAAACACGAACATTTTGTTGATATTCATTTGTAAGAAAATATATGATTAATTCATGCCAAATCAATTCGGGTATCAAAGGTTTTTTATCGGTTTCGATGCATTGCTCGCCAAAGATTTTTTGTTTGATTAACCAATCGTTTAAAATTTCAATAAAACAAGCTTTAAGTAATGGTACACGAATGGTTTTGTCATCCGATTTTCCTCTTGTACGTAATAGAGTAGTTGGCTTTTCTTCAACTGTTTTGTAATACAATTCAACAGTTTCAAAACCAGTATCATTTTCTGGTCTAAAACCTTTGAATTTTGGTGTAAAATTTTCAAGATATAATGAACACGCATGACCAACAATTGTATTCGATTGATCAATATAATCGGTTGGACGATTACGTTCACGTAACGTAATAAGATGATGGCCGAAAATCCATGGAAAACTGAGTATGCGTCGATTCGATTTTGGTGGTAAGCGACCGCTTTTGTTATAACTATATATATAAGCACAAGCGGCTTTGGCTAATTTATCTTCAGTGCAATAATCACAACTAACAACTTTGTGACGCTGCCTATAAGAATCATATTCAATTTGACAGCAGTCGTATTTTGCACGCCGTTGATTAAATTCTTTATAGAAGTCTTTTTTTATTTTCTCAACTAAATTTTGTACTTCAATCGAAGCTGAATCTTCAAGACCACCTTTTTTATTTCCACCTGCAGAAGCATCCATTGATTCACAACGACAAAAAAGATCGATTTCATCTTGGAACCGATACAAACTTATGATTTCAAGTAATTCATATACATATGTTGAATATAAGCGTCTTATTTCCGGAAGATATTTTCGATACTTTTCATGAAATATGAACGGATCAAGTGACTGTGTATTATCAGATCTTGTCATATTTGATGTAATACTAGTTTCATTATTTTCTTGATCTTTTACATCCGTACCCGCAGTTAATGTGGCAGCTACATCCATATGACGCAGATTACCATGGCTACTTATTGCTCGTTTCCAACCTGAGACAGAACGATGTGCTGAACGATATAATTTACCTGAAAATAAAACACAATCGATTTTGTTTTGTTTTGAACATCTAAAATCTGATGTTATCAATCAAAAAATAAAGAAAAGGCTACTTTTTACTAATTAAAGCTTTCTACTTTATGTATGGATTCAGATCTGTGAAGGAAGTAATAAAAACTTACCAAGAATACGTTCTGATGGATAAAAATTCTTTTTTCCACGTGATTTCATAAAATCGGGCCATATGTTGTTCAGCCCTTTTCTAAGGTCAGCAATTTGCGCTTCTGTTAACGGATGTTTACCAGTTTTTGCAGCATCTACTTCTTGTGAAATAGCTCCAGCTAAATCAGTACATATTTTTGACTTAATGCCTTCTTTATCGACATAAGCTAGATGAATATTTGATAAACTTCCAAGGCAATCTTGTTCACTAACTTCCATTACAATTTGATTAATATCATCTCGAGTTATTGGTCGTTTCATTTTCGGCGGATCTTCTTGAGAATCATAAGCATAAGCCTCTTCATTGGGCGTTTTTGGTATTAAATCTTTATCCCAAATAACAACATATTCATCACCTAAAAGACAAAACAATATGTTAGCATACAAAATAAACTTTTTGCTTTAGTTTTCGAATATTAACCATCTAAATCGGATCCGGATATTTCATTGGGATGTGGCCGATGGCCTTTTTGTGGAAAAACAACAACATCTTTTAAATGTTCCAATTCATGATGATAAACTGCATCAAATACTCTCAAATCACCTGGATGATGGCATGGGTTTTTTGTAATAACAACTTTCTGTTGTAAAATTACACATTGATTCGATTCATCTTTTTCAAAATAATTCAATGTATTTTCACGCATTGCCGTATATTGAACAAATACTTGACCATATTCTAATACACCATACTCATCGACAATACCAAACATATTTCTTGCTTTTCTATCGGATATCCGTATTCTTGTTCTATCTATTAATTCACGTATAATATTAAATGCACATGTTATGATTAATCTAATAAAAAATTGTTCTTCCACTATATTGATATTCCGAGCTATTTTCCGTAATTCAAATATCGGTAGAAGTTTTTCTTGTAATAGTTCATAAGCACTGGACGGCATCAATAGAGAACGAATAAGTAATAAATGTTCTTCGTTTTGTAGATGAAGAAATGTTGTATGTGGTATATCGCGGCTTTCGAGTAAAACTATATCTTGCCGATTGAGATGTAGAGCTCCTAACATTCACATAAGATTAGAAGAATGAATGAAGAAAGTTTCATGGATAATGTTTTCGCAAGTGTTACTCTCAATTTGCAGATAAAAAAAGAACACAATCAAAACTCATTGTATAGAACTCGGATGGTTAAATCGCTCCCACTGTCTAAGTAATTTATTTTTCTGTTAGAAAAACATGTAAATCGGGAAACGTTTGCACAATAAAAAATACTTACGTGGAGCTGATAATTTGCATAATTCAAGTATATCATGATCGGTAGTAAATTTATTCATCGAGTCTCGAATTTGCAATTGATGTTGTTTACCATCGAGTCTTGGATCAACTGAAAGTGTACCTTTACAACCACCATAACGAATTTGTAAAACGCTGAATTCCTTTTTGCGTTGTAAGAATTGTAATATCTATTCAAATATATTTGAGAAACAAAATATTCATTTTTAAAATAATTATCATACTTCATCTCGAAGTTGCGTTGAAATTGTTCCAACGCCATCGGTGAATGCATATTCTCCTGTTTGATCTTTGACATCGCGAACATAAGTGACTCGATCGGCAGTGATCTGAATCAAAATACATTCCTACATATATTTTTCAGGCTTAGACCAAACGATTGTGTGAAAAATAGGAGTACAATGCATCGAATGATGATCTTATCTCTGAGTTGAAATTCTCGAGAAAGAATAAATAAGTGTCTCGATATCTGTTGGCATGTGAATAGGTGACGTTAAGAGCGCGACTTCATTATATTTGTATCGTAGCTTACCAAAAACAAGCCGATCTGAAACTCCGAATGATATATGTAGTGAGATACCACCTAGACGGTCAGGTAAGAGACCAAATACTATCTATAAACACTGAATAGTTCGGCAGCGAGAAATCAATGGTTCACCCCAAATAAGAGGACAAGACAATTTTTTATGTTCTCTCGTCATTTCGAATTAGGAGAAAATTTTCTTCTTACCTGTATCGTTTTATCTGAACTTGTAAAACAAAGTGCAATACGTGCTGCATGTTTCGCTACGACACGTTCTTTATCGAAATTTCCCATCCAAGCATACGCATCGTCATGTGAGAGATATCCATTTTCTTTATCATGATAGTAGAACCAGAATTGTTTACATTTAACTTGACTTTGTGAATGATGTAAATATTTATACGTTCGCGCTGGTGTTATGAAAAATCCATTTTTTAAATAATTCAATATTTGATCTTTTAATGCACGAAATTCGGTGGGAAAAAGTAACCGTTGAGCTTCGTCACGTAATTCGACGAGAGCAAAATTTAAACAGTTACCAAATCGCTTCTCGCGAAGAACACGATTTAATTTACATAACTTCAATGGACGAATTTTAATCGTTGTTGGCGTTAAAACAACGGATGGAACATATGCTGTGGCTGTTGCTAGTTGAGTAAAGTTCGACTTAGGCAAATTTCTGTCTTTTGACGAGTAATATTTTTCGTCATATATAGAAATACCTATTTGAATTTCTTTATCGAAGTCAAGAAAAAAATATTCTAATGATCGTCGATGTAAATATAAACATAAACGATAAAAGCGATCATCGACTTCCGAAGGATCTGTTTCATTATTTCTTGAATCAGAATATGCATGTAATTCGTTCACAAAATTCTTGCATAAATATAATTGAACTTGTACACGAAAACCAATATTACATAGCATAGCCCATGAATAAGATTGAATAAATGTCGGAAATCTATGAGAATTGAGGGACATTATATTGTCTAGAGATATACGTTTTGTTATTATCGAACCAAAGCTAACTTGTATACGATTATTGTTAAAAAAATCAAACCAAAGTCTGAATGCTTGTCGTACTACAATCAAAGATTCCTCATACTTTGATTGTGCAAGAGATTTTTTTTCATCATTAGAAATATCTTGACCTATCCTTTGGTTACGTTCTAAAGTTTCTAGAATAGAAGATTCTTCTTTAACTCGTATACGTATGCGAATTGTTGAGAATGTAGGCATTGGTTTGCCATCGCGTATTCCTTGACGTATAAATGGAGTACTATCAATATCATCAGTTTTTGGCTTAAGTTTTCGTTGTAATTCATGAACATTTCCTTTCATATTTATAAATAGATCAAATCCATCGTTGCGTAAATAAAAAATAGCTGCGCGATCAATAATATCAAGTGGTATCTTATGTTTTACTTGAGTTGATACTCGATCAGCATTATTATTTTCTAACTTGAATATATTTGAATTAATTTGAAAAAGCTCATCATAAAAGCGTAATTTCCAAATAGACTTGTTACGAATTATGTAATCTTTGTGAAGATAAAAACAACTCATTGATGATAATGCTCCATAACATAAATCTGAATAAATTTCACGACCGATTACAAGTGAATTTCCTCCATGCGGGTCAGGATTTTTGGGCATTGACTGACGAATTACTGAATCTTGAAACTTAGGCGGATGTTTGAACGTAAACCAAAATGGTCGATTTTCGTCATTATCAAATTTATCTGAGAATAAATCCAAAAGATTACATGAAATAGGTTTCGGTAATGTTAATGGATAGATAGATAGACCAAAACTCCATATATCATGAATGGGTTTTAACGAATCAATATCTATATCGGATTGTATAGTTCGAAAACGTCTGCATGCATGTATATAACCTTGTTCCTTGGTATCACTTTGATCGATAATAAATGATATTTGATCAAGTGTAACACGAAAATCAATTAAAGGAGATGATGGAATAGGAGCACGTCGTTCGATCTAATAGACAAAAATAATTCATTAACTATCTATCTTCATGTGTGAATCTTATTGTAGTTCAATGAGAATGTCGAAGACGATTATTTAAACGATATTCTCGAAAATCATAGAAAGACTAGATCCTTAAATAATTTTCTTTGCTAATCTACGTACCACTAATGCAGGATCTTCTCGTTTTCGAAAATATGAATGCTAAAAATACAAAAGAAAGAATATTCTTGGGAAAAAGAAATAAACATCAATATTACCGGTAATCTTGCTATTCTTGGAGGTTTAGGATAAGCGTCTTTATCTGGTTCAACATCAGTAATGCGTGGTTTTGGTAATGGTTCATTGTTTGTATCGACAGCTTTTGAATTAACCCGGCCGCGTCCACGCCCCGGAGTGGAAGTAGTCTATAATGAAAAATGTACTCAAGCATGTCTATCAGTTTATGATTCAGATTATACGTATACTAACTATGACAATAGTAGGAAGGCTTATTACAGGTTCTGGAGTAATAACTGAAATATTAGTCTCATCATAGCCACTGTCACTCCCATCGTTGTCTTCGTCATCATATATTATATGCACTTCAGGTTCATCGGCAATTTGACTTCCTTGTTCGATTTCTTTATTTAATTCCTCATCTACAATTTGATCAATTTCATGATCTATATTTACATCCTCTTCATCGGGTTCACGATTGAATTCGTCATCAAAACAATCAGATGCGAGAATTCTATTGTCTGATGTTTCATCAGTATCATTGATGAGCTCATCCATATTTTGAATCGAAATTTATTTCAGATCTTCTAAAAGTATTGTGTTTTTGCTTCAGTTTGATGGATTTATAATTTGATTTGATGATGCCGTAATGTGATACTGGGTAAATATCCAGAATCGTACACACTACTTATCTTCGCAAAGACAGGATCATGATAGTTTCAGTTTTCAACGTTGATGAATGGTCGATGTCTGGCATCCATCACCATTCTACATTGATAGATGTCGTTAAAAGATTAGAGTTTTGAAGTTCCCAGGATTTATTTCTACCAAATTCACAGTAATTTGCAAGCTAATAAATAACTTAATGATTCGATATTCCTTTTAAGACAAAAAAAAACAAGTATTATGCCAATATTGTGTTATCATAATAATTTCGTACGATATTGTTGAGCTACGAATCAATGATCGTTTCCAAGTGTCCCCTGGATTGAACTCTGTTGATATCAGTACAAAATGGTTAGCGAATATTTAGTTAAATTCCTTTTTTTCAATCATTTCGCTGGAATAAAGCAGCGATTCTTTTTAACAAGAATTGAGCTTTTATTTTATGACTACACATTTTACTTTACAGAAAGAAAAATATTCATTACTACTAACTAGCTAACACAAACAAACAAAACATTAACTATAAAATTCTAAATCACTCTCATCTTCATTAACATTTGTTCTCGGTGTTGTTGATGCTGAACTAGTCGATTTAAGATGTTTCTTTGGCGCCAATGGCGATGATACTTCATCGTCGTCATCATCCATAATTCCACCTGACTTTAATTTATTCAACCATGACGATGATGAATTTGTATTTGTTTTAGTCGCCGGTTGTAATGGTTGTCGTTTATCTGTCGATGTATCATCATCGGAACTTGAATGTTGTATTCCAACAATTTTCTCAACAACATGTTTTAATAGACTTTTCGATTTATCATGTAAATAAATCGAACTACTTGGTAATAGTGCCGGCGCAAATTTATTTGCTAACGTTTGTGAACTCATGATATGTAATTTTAATAATCGTGTAAAATGATCGATTAATCTTGTCCATAATAAACGATCTTGTTCAGGTAACATTTTTGCTACAATATCTTTATCTAAATCTCTTATATTAGCTGAAAGTATATCTTCTGTTAGTAAACATTTATTAATCGTTATACGACGTATTGTTGATGGCAATTGATCAAGCACAACCATGGATGCCGTTGTTGCATCGAGATCTTTGACGGCATATTGTTGTTGTTCATTAGCTATATCGAGTATTGTACGTTTTTGTGTTATTGTTGGTGGATCATGACGATAGAATTTCTTTTTATCAATAGTATCAATTAATTCTTTTTCAATATAATCCAATAGAAAAAAAAGGCCCGAACGATTTAATTCCATTCGAAGTGAACCTGTACGTTTCGAACGTGAAAATGTATTCGATGATATATCCGATGTTGATGGATCATCTTGATGATGGTCATTTTTTAATTCATTATTTGCTGTAGATAAATTCGTACGATCTAAGCCAACTTTTAAATGATCTTCATAACGCTTGTATAACATAGAAGTATCCATACTATCCAATTGATGTGTTGCATTTGGTACTAAAATTGAAAAAAAAAGGAATACAGAAAAAAAAAATTTTCCTATAAAATTTACTTGTATAACGAAGATTTCCATCAGCTTGTTGTTGTTGACGTAAACGATCAAAATCATCTCGAGTATTGCTAATATCTGTACTCCTTCGTGGGGATAGATTTTTTTGTCTATTTGGATAACTAGATTCTAAATATTGTAAATAATCATTTTTCAAATGTATCAATTGTTCAGCATCAATACGTAATTGATTCAAATTATGTTCAGCATGCGTTAAATCATTCAGTAAACTTGAATTCCGCTGTTGTGCTCGTTGAGATTCTTGATTGAGTTGTGTAAAATATGCTTGAATATCTTCGACTTGCTGTCGTTGTTTTAAACGTGTATCAATGCTCGATAATGAACGTAGTTTACGCTCGAGTTCGATACGTTCTTCTTCATTTTTTAATATTCTCGAATGTAAACTTGTAGCTTTTTTATGATAATCAGCCAGTACTGGCGCCACCGATGATGACGACGTTGGATTCATCTTAATTTCTGTGTGATAGCAACAAAAATAGCAACGACAAAAGGAGAAGAGAAAAAAAGAAATAGTTCTTATATATAACAACGCTGCGAGATAAAGGTAACGCGCTTGGTCACATTCTTACCTTTCTCGTTTCTTTCCTTTCTCTTTCATTCTCGTTTCTCTCTGAGGTTGCCATGAGCAACCGTTGTGATACTACAACGCTCATACTGATTTAATTTGACAGTGAAAGAAAAAAAGCAGAAGACGGCAGTCAATGAAAGATTTTCATATAGTATGAAAAGTTTGCTCAGAACGAAAAACATAAACAAGATGTTTACATTACTCAGTTCGATTACACACACTACATCGATGGCACTTTACATGTCTATCCTCCCATATTGTATACTGTAAATAAGGGGGTATTATAATGAGTGTCTTTCGTTTTTATTTTTTTTCTCAGCACGAATTTCATTTGTATATATTCATTTTTAGATGTTGTGTTAAATAGACAATAGAATGGCCAAATTTTTCTCACGTTGGTTCCGTAGTGGTAGTTCATCGTTTCGTACTTCACAGACATCGCTCTCAGACAATTCGAATCCGAATCGAGCATCAAGTGTCGCTCGGTCGGCACCATCGCTTGAAAATCTTGCATCGTATCATGTTATACCAAAAGAACTTGACAAGAATAAATTACATAAAGCAGCATGGGAAGGAAACTTGAAAAAAGTTCAACATCTTGCACGACCAGGTCAACTCAATGTTAAAGATCAACACATGCGCGTATTTAGCAATTCAATTTAAAATACTTTTTTGTTCTCTATGGTTCTTTTCTTTTCTTTTTGCTTTATAATAGACTCCATTACATTTGGCTGTTGTTAAAGGACACTTAGCTATAGTACAGTATCTTGTTAACGAAGATGCAAAATTAGATGTAGTCGATAACGAGCAACGAACACCATTGATCAAAGCTGTTCTTAGTGGCAATCAAAATATAAAGATTAATTATGAAATATGTAAAGTTTTATTAAATGGAGGTGCTGACAAATGTAAGAATTATTTTCTTTTGTAAATGTAGGCGAAGATCAATCTAATGTAATTGAGACACCCTTGTTACCGAATTAAGTATATTTTTATTGTCATCAGAAAATGTTTTTTAAGATTTCTTATTCCTATAGAATTACCGTCTTAAACGATGGTAATTCTATACTCGGATATTGCTTGAATTTATCTATCGTCGCCACATATATAGGTACCTATTGTTCTTTCATTCGTTGACGACAACAACTGAACATAAATAGAGTGATAGAAAATAACAAAGTTTATCAAGCCAATGAAATATACATCATCTTTCATTTCAAGGAGCATATATGCAAAAACTAGCTTTTTTAATTCAATTATATCTCACTATTGAAATCTAAATTTTATAGGGGCGGTATAGTAACAAACATTGCCAGCAGAGTGTCTTATTTACTTTTCAAAGTACTATCTCACTCTTGAATATACATACCCGAAGCCAAGGTCAATATTGCTCTTGGTTTCACATTGCTAACGGTGACTTTTTTTTGTTTCGGAGTGTGTAGTAGAATTTAATATGAATATAAAATGGCTTCATTACCCTATATGTGTTTTTTCAAATGCATCACTACAAGCTTAAACACAAATACTCGATTTGATTTGAACCTTCAAGAGTTTTTAATAGATGTTTTTATAGCAGCAATTAATTTTTTTAATAGTGACCTTTACTACAGTTCATTAGGTTAAAGAACTTCTAACCCTGATTGACACACGAGCAAAGCGTACTTTGAAATTGTCAATAGAATTTGGGTATTTCGTTCTATATTAAACTATTTCTAGGTATAAATGCTGTTGATAAACATGGAAGAAATGCTTTACATTATGCTATCGATTTTGACAATCAACGTCTGGTCCAACTTTTTCTTTCGAGTAGAACTTGTGATCCCAATTATAAAGATTACGATCAAATGACACCATTACATTTAGCAATTAAACGTAAAAGTCCTGAAATAGTTGATTTACTTTTATCCGATCAAAATGAACAACAGGCTGATCCAAATATTGTCAATCGTTTTGGACAAACTCCATTGCATTTAGCAGCCAGTGTTGGTTATATTGATATTATACGAAGTTTACTTGCAGTAAAACCTAATGAACTATGTGATCCAACACTTCTTGATTCGCATCAATTAACAGCTTATGATTTAGCTAAAAATAATCATCATGAAGCATGTGCAAAATTAATTGAAGAATATGAAGAAACATGGTCAAAACATTCACCGCGAAGGCTCGCATCAACACCGTTTCATGCACTATCATCACTAAGAGCACCAGATTCTATCTCATTGCATCCGGCAACTAATCTTGAACGTGAAAATGATGAAACCAGTGATGATTCATCATTGACGTCGACAAGTAAACCATCGAAATCTTTACCGAGACGCGCACAACGGCCCAGTGATCAATGGTCAGATGATAATGGTCTTTCAATAGACGAATCAAAACCAGGTTCACATGTTCTAGCTGGTTTATTTAAAAATAATCCATTACAATCGGACACAACGAAGACAAATGCGTCAAATAAAGAAAACTCTGTATTGAATAATTTTGTTACAAATAATCCCTTACGAACGGATACAAAAAAACAAGCACCGAAAGGTAAATATATTTTACTTTTTATTTTGAGTTCATTTTTCGACAAATCCTTACGGCTAGTCAATCAAGAAGGTCCAAAAGTGGTCAACAAAAATCTCTACTCACTTTACTTTTGCTTTAGCTAATGAATGATGGCTTTTGATGTGCTTGGTTCTATTTTTTTAACTAGCTCAACAAACGCATTCGTCATCTATATTTGGCATTGAGCCAGCCTTCGATCGTAAGGACAGTGATAACACATCCACAAGTATATCAGATAGAAAACCATCTAAGCCAGTACAAACGACTGTAGAAAAAAAGCCTGTTGCATCGAATGTCTATGTTAATATTGCACGTCAACCTGTATCAAATACAAAATCCTGGTCGGATGATACAATAACAGCGCCAGTTTCAAATATTAAAAAGAAAGCCGATTCACACAATGACACATGGGATACATCGACATCGGAAGACGACAAAAATATTTTCAAATCAAAACCTGCTCCTGATCTTTTACAAAAAACACTGCCGTTTTCACCATCCAAAGATGATGTTACTGATTCCGATAGCGATCAAGATTCGGTTGAAACTGAAATTGAAAGATCTGATAGATACAAATCGTCTAATCAAACTGCGATTCAAAAATTAGTAAATACAAAAATTGGAAATGGCTACAAAGTAATTGGAACATCTGATGCTCAATCACCATTAAGTGAAGAATCCTCATGGACAAATACATCTGCACGATTGAATAGAGAACCAACAACAGTAACAAAAGGAATTGCAAGTATAGGAATGCTACCCAAAAAAGACGAATCAACATGGGATGATTCTCAATCGATAACAAATAATTTCAAAGAATCGAAACATTCTCATGATTCATCGAAATTACAATCAGCAGGTATTGAAAATCTAGTAAAAATTATCGAAGGTATTCAGCAGACGAAAAAAAATCAGTAAGTTTACAAATAGATAAAAAAAACTTATCGACTATTATTTTCTCTCGTTGTTTTAAGACCACCAACATCATCGAGCATAGCCGGTAGAGTTGTTACTACATCAATGATGGAACGTACTGAATCAATCGCATCCGAAAATACTCTGCATGAAGTTGATAATGATGACGATTATGAACGTAAGTTCGAGTTTATTCTGTCTTGCTGATCTCGATAGTTGCTTTCAGACCAAATAAAATTATTCACCTTTCATTTAACGAGATCAAATCTTTCTAGCGATATGAGAAAAAGACTTCAAGGTCGAGAATTTTTGTTTTGTGATTTTAGAAAGTTGGAAAAAAAAGATTGACGAAAAAGCTACAAAAGAACAACAGCCTAAAGTACTACCGTATTCATCGTTACCTCATTCTATTACTAATCTGCATGGTTCAATATCATCAACAAAATCATCATTTAATGATGTAAGGATATTGGTTTTGGAAACAAGATTAAAATTATTTTAATTTTAGGCACGATTCAATGACTTAAAAGAAACTATCGAAAAACTTGAACGGAATCAAGAAGATACAAAAGAATTAAAACGACAGCTGAAAGAAATGGAAAACAAAAAAAATGATTTCGAAAAATTATACAGAGAAAATGATGAAATGTTACGTCGCGTGGAAAATAAATTAGAACAAGAAAAAACTGAAAAACAACGTTTAGAATCAACGACAAAAAATTTAAATATAGAATTACTGACTATTAAACAAAAACTTCAATCATTACAAGATGAAAAAGACCTGTTAAATCAACGTTGTAATAAATTAAAAGAAGAACGAGATAATCACGGTAAAATTAGGTTATAGTTTATGCAGCTAAGATTTTCGCAGAGCTGAACAAAAAACAGTATTGAGATGTTGTTAATAACATTTTATTTCTACGAAATTTTCTTACTAAGAATGCGAAGCTATAATATAGACTAGGGCCAGGGACTGCACAAAGGATCAAATAAATATTTTGAGGGGTATAAACCGTCCACTTCCGTGGTCCCTGTAAGACTCCAATTCAGGTCTAATCTTCCAGCATTATGCAGGTTGAATATAGATTTTAAGATCTATTTTTTTCTCGTTTTTATTAAGATGAAAAATTACATATGCTGCAATTGAACAGTTCACAAACGACCATAGCCACAAAAAATTCCTATCATGAAGATGATATCGATAGAATAAAATCTCGACATCGTGAAGAATTAAGATTATTATCAGATGAAAATGATGATTTACATCATCGAACAAAACAATTAGAATCAGATTTACAATTACACAAAGAATCACTTGATGTAACGATTCGTTACAAAATTGATTTAGAAAAGGCATTAGAAGAAAAAACATTCTATCAACGTGAATTAGATCGTTTGAAACATGAAAAAGCTCATATTGAACAGGAAAAAATTGAATATAAAACAAAATATGATAGTTTACAAGAAGAAATACGAAATATACTTTTTGATCGTTCGAAACTTGAACAAAAATTAACAAGTGAATTACACGAACATATACAAGAAAAACAACGGTCAACCGATGATAAACAAAAATATCGAACTGAAATCGAACAATTAAATACTAAATTGGACGATGCTGCAGCACGTTTACATGCTCTACAAACGCAAAACGAATCATTACTAACATCCAAAGATCGAGAAATAAAAAATGAATTTGAATCTCTTTCACAACGTCTTACACAAATTGAATCAAATAAAATCGATGCTGAACAGCGTTACCATAATCAACATAACGAAATAACCAATAAACAGCAACAAAAACAAGTTCTAATTCAATCACCGATTCCTCACCCACCGACATTATCAGATGCTCATATACAGTAAGACTAACTTCTTGTTAACGTACTGCCAGATACAAAGAGGAGTTCGATTCGGTATGAAAAATCTTCCTAGGCATTCTGCTGAAATTTCTATCCTATAACCACCGAAAATATGGAAAAATCAAACTGCGATATTTTGACTTAAGATTCTGTCTATACATACGGTGTTAAGGGTCGAAATTCCAGTAAAATGCCTAGAACTCTTAGATAGCTGAAAATGTTCCATCGTAAGTTTCAAAATATTGATTTTTTTAAAATTGATCTCATATCTAGTTCTTCATCATGTAAAAATTGTAATGCATTTCAACGAAGTTATGAACAAGAACGTGAATATCGTTTACAAACTGAACAAGCTAATGGACGTTTGCGAGATGACGCATCAAATCAATATCAATATTTAAATAAACCATTTTTAATGCAACCAAACAATGAAATTTATTTAGTAGAAAATTCAAGAAAAATTCGTTCCGATACCGAACGTGTGAAATCTGAACTTGATCGATTACGTCAAGATTTCGATAAATTAGTTTCAACCTATGAACCACCATTGAATTTTCATCACCAACTACAACTACATTCACAAGTCGATACATTTCGTCAATTCTATGAACATGAATTTCGACAACGACAACTTCTCATGGCAAAAACAACTCCTGGACTTAAATCAACAATGTCACAAAATTATCATAAGCCATCATCACATTTAAGTCATAAACATTCATTTAGTGACGCATGTTCAACATGTACAAATAGTCGTTTACTTCGCGAACGACTTGAATCTGCTATTGACTTGAGTTTAACTGATCGACGTTTTCAAAACGGAATACAAGTTCCAGCTGTACTACGGCAAGCCTCTTCCTTATTAACAATAAATACGATTCATAATGGGCCTACTTCATCTCGAGAATTTTTACGTGAACGCTATTATGTTTAAATTTCGTGAATGACAAAACAGTGAATTTTTGTTTTTTCTTCTTCTTCCATATCTATCTAGGTGATAGGATTTGTTGTTGTTTTCGTTTTCTTTTAATATATATATATAGAGGTGTTTTGTATTGTTTTTTTCTTTTATTCATACAAGATCTATTCTTTCAGATCTAATCATGGACGGTGCTGGTAGCATCACATTTTGGGGTTATAGTCCTAGTCTTTGCCTAACAAAATATTCTGATAAGCAATCAGAAGATTTACCTCGTCGACTGCTGCTCATTGGTAGTGGCGATATTCGTCACATACTTCATACATTAGCCCTAGCAACAACACCAATACATATTTATATTCTTGAGTCTCAACTAGAAGTCTATGCACGTCATTTACTTTTTCTTCAATTAATATTCGCATCGACTGATCAAATAGGTTTACAAGAAAAATGCGAACATTATCTTGAATTATTTGCTAATTTACATATAAATACACATACGGAACAATATTTAAAAGAAGCATCAACTCAACTTATTCAACATATAACAAATTTAAATGGAGAATTTCAATTGGCATCGAATTTAACCGTTGATACAACATTATTAAAATATAAAGAGAAAGATTTTCTCGAAGGTATCTTTCAATTTTGGCGAGCACCACCAACGAAACAGCCTTTTCCAGCTGAATTAGCTTGGGATGGTCGTGTTCGACAATATTTAGGTAAGTACACGAAAAACCAGTGGTCATAAGACAATAATAATAAAACATATTTATTTGAATTTTTAAGGAGCACGTTATGATAGTCGTCGTAATGCTTTCGATTGGGATTTACATATGAAATTAACTGAACGAGGTTTTAAACGTTTGAACACATATGAATATGGTGATTGGCGTGAAAGTGGTCTTGCTTTTCGTTTAACCCGTCAAGATTATACACAGCCAAATCGAACGCTTGCATCATCGTTTGTTTTTCAAAGTTCAGATGGTACTAGACAAGCTCGTCGTGGCTATTGGGGTGATATTGTAACGGGCCCGTACCTTTCTCATGGTCTCGTACCTGTTGATAATGATGATCCAAAAATGAACGCAAAAGCAAATGATAAATTTGTTAAAACAGGTACCGATGTATCTGAATACAATGTTCTTAAACTGTTAAGTCATCTTCAAGAACAAAATAACCAATTTAAAATAGTCCTATTACCATTAAATAGTATTTCAGATTTATGCACGGCTAGTGTAGAACGATATCGGCATTTACAATTCGATTTAATCTATGTTGGCTGTGGTTTAACACATCATCTTAATGAGCAAGGAGAAAAGTTTTCATCGTCAATTATGTCCGAAGGATCGCAATTGATATTGGAATCACCTAGATTTCTTCTTGATCTTAAAATCGAACAAATCGAACAACTGGAAAAACGTTATGATGAATTGGCAAAAAATGTTGGATGCATTCCACAAGAAAATGAAGAAGAACTTACAGCTAATTGTTTTAAAATTTATAAATATAATCGTTCATAATTATTCAATAAAATGAAATGATAATCCTCGTTGAATTTAGACATAATAGTTTTTCTACATGGAATGCTTTTTTTTAACGAACTTGAGTACCTGATTAGGCAGTGAATTGAGAAGATGATAACCACACCCACAAGTTGATTGGTCTAAACTACCTGTACGATAATAGTGATTTAGCATCAGAAAAATTGAAATGACATTTATTCATCTGGACACATGATTTCTTATTTTGAGTTCAAGCCCTCGACTTTCTCCATGTGAATGGTTTGTTTTTTGAAAGAAAACCATATATTTTGTTGCAATATCGTTCTTCTATACCTGATGATCATAAAAATAGCATGTTGTGAACCAGATATTAAGTTTATTAATTTCATACATCGCTGCATATCGACAGTCAAGTTGTTTCTTACAACATAATACATACATTCCGAACTATGTAGTTACGGATAATCATGTCACGTGAATGGTTCACTATTCAACACTAGCAATTTTTCTTGATTTATAAAGAAAATATTCTTCTCAGTCTGGCACACCATTTGCTTGCATTCTATCTTTCGGGTTCATTCATGAACGACAACACGAGGTCATTTACAGTAACCGAAAGAAATGTGACTCACTTGAGCTACGGATAGGGAACGAATGAACTTGTGAGTGTTCATTCTATCCTTCCTATATTAAAATGATTGAATAGACATTGTGAATAAATAATTATATCACGTCGATTTTGTCTTTCAGCATGTATTTATCAGTGAAAAATAATGATGCAGAGATTAAATAGTCGAACTGTTAAGTATGCCGAACCCTTAAAGACCTCTCGAATGCATCGTATTTCAATGATGATGAACCATTGGACATCATAAATTGTTAGCAGTTGAGAATAATGTTCTATTTACCCCGATATGTTCAGTGCTTAGAGAGCCATAACAAAGGTGAATTGCTTCACTTAATGATATTTCTTTAGCAGTACGATATACATAATTGAAACGCTCTGCATACTGTCTATCTATTTTTGTTGAAGTTTAAAATGCTAAAATCCTTCTACGAATCATAATTTTCTTGAATTAAACCGCTCCACACCTCTAACGCTGAGAAATACTTGCCGATATTGGTTCGAACTTCGAAGAAACGTTGCTTAATCAATAATTTCTCTTCGGTATTCTTGACAAGAATAAAACTTTCTTAATTACTTAGCCAATTCGACTCATTTTGTTAAATATAGATTCTTTTACCGATTGCCCATAGATCACATACCTTTTTTTTATCTAGTGAACGATTCATTCATTGTTACTCGATAAGCTATGAATACACTGTTCAATAATTAATAGATATATAGAATAAATATTTCTTCATGTTATTCAACTGATTGTTCTATGAATAGTTTTCTTTTTACACTGTGAATTAGGGGTGGGCCATCATTTTGTCTTTCATGCTTTGTTTTTTATTCGGCAAATGATTCGTTTAAAAATATTGCTGAAAAATTTAGATTCAAACAACTGTTTTTCAATTGAGTTCAGTTAGAACTAAACAATATGCTCAATATTTTATTCTGGAACATAGAACACTGCCAATCTGATATAGTAAATTGCATGGACTACTATTGGTTAACCTCCTTTGAGCCTATACCATTTAATGTATTTTATTAGTATTGTAAAATCTAACGAAAGTGGAACTACAGTAGAACATATTGTCAAGCCAATGTATAATAGGTAAATCTTTCATTTATGTCATTGTAATTCCCCAACGTGCACGTATTCACAAGTTTTATTTAAAAAAAGCAAGCTAGCGATTACAATCAATAATAAGTTCATCCGTATTCTCCATCATCAAATGTATCGATTGGAGTATCTTTTGGATAATTACACTACAACATTGGTATTATACGATGGAACAGGCATTGGCAACTTCTCATTTTTTTGTAGTTAATTTCCTCACAATTATTTTATCACCAATATTGTCAGTAGTTGGAGCTATAATAGGGAAGCGTGGGCACGACGGGTTGATTACATTCGTTGATCACGTGAATGCCATTTTTAGCAATCTAGTCATTTCTATGGGAATTGCGTGTCCTTTGCGAAGAGATCCTTCTTGTATGAAAAGAGTTGAGAGAAAAATGATTTCGTACTCTGCATCTCCACGAATAAACTTGCTCGTTACAACTTATCAAAAGGTAAGTGATCTATACTGATTAAATACGTGTTGCGATGACGAAATTGTACGAAGCTATGCGAAATAACGTGTATTCAAATACCATGTTTTAAAAGATAAACTCATTTTTTTCTAAAATTCTCCTTTCTCTTTTGAAAATTAAGATGATGAACAGGTTGCTGAGTCATCTTTTCCAATGAGAACGATCTGTTTATGTACACTATAAAATCACATTACGTTTTTCTGAATATCACTTTTCGTTCAGTAGCACTCTCAATATTCAATAACCTAAGAAGAATATAAATGAATAGACTTCTTTTTTGCAAGCTGATTCTTCACAACTATGTAAATGCTAGCACTAATTGTGTTTTTCCAGTTTTATCCGTCATTATTGAGCATTTATATTTTTTTAACGGAGAATGAAAATATTTAATTTGTTCTAAAATGGAAAGTTTATTTTCAATGTTGATAATACCATGGAAGATAAAATTAATGTACTTACATTGTCTAGTTTAGTAAAATAATTTGAAGAAGATTTACCGAAAAATAACTAAAACGAAAACAAAAATAGTTAAATTTGATGATAGTACTGAAAATCAACTAATTGACTCAAATCCAGATCATGAGAATGATATACTTAACAAAGTGATAT